GAATTACATGCAGAATTCTCATATATGAAGTTAGGTATAATATTGCTTCAGAAACACATAACATTCATGAGATTAATATTGCTGTATAGCACAATGATACTTGGATTATGATCATGTAGAATATATATTATAGTCTCTGGTGCAGTGTCTACCCACAACCCCTGTTCCAAGGGAATGAACACCCTCTTCTAGTCAATGTGAGCATTAGCCTACACATGTTGTATATATGTGCATACAGGCAAAACATGAAAAGATTTAGCTAAAAAGTCATGGGAGGATATTAAAGAGAGAGAAAGAAAAAGAATATAGAGATGAGTGATAGGTAGATGATGGATGGATGGATGGATGGATGGATGGATGGATGGATGGATGGCAATGAACATACTTATGGCTTAGCATTCTAAATAACACTCAACCTGAATCAAGACAAGAGGCATAGCATCCACGAAAGCAGGATAAAAACACAAATAATAAAGGATGTTGTGTTCTCTCTGAACGCTGTAGTTTCACATTTGTATATGCATGCATGTGCACGTGCTACAGCATGTTTGTGAGGTCAGAGAACAGGTGCACCTTGACATGTTAAGACATCTTACCAGTCCCTATTTTCATGTTAAGCACATTGAATGAATAGCATTTCAATAAGGAAGATAATTCAATAAGGAAGTTCTATATCCATAAATGGCAGAAATGAATTCTTCATTGGAAGAGAATACGGGACACTTGTATTAATATTTGACATAGCAGAAGAAAGCCGGTGTTTCAGAGGCAAGTCTGTGTGTCAACTCTCACTGCAACTCTTGGCTTCTTGTGCGACCTTGGGTAGTTGCATCAAGGCCCCGGAGCAGCTTTCTGATCTATAAATAGAACCCCTAATGCCTTTCCCATGTTGCAGTTGTCAAAATAAAATAAGACCCCAAGTATAAAGTTCCTGTAACAGAGGACATTAAAAATGACACTACATTTTCTCTTGGATTAACTCTACAATTGCCTAACATTTAAAATATGGGTCAGTCAAATTTTGAGTGGATGGAAATTCCAGCGTAAGATGGGGTTTTCTGTTAAACTCTCATCAGTATTCATTGGTTTGTCTTGACTGCTGTCCTGACCCTCGGGTGCACTATTGATTATTTCTTTACTGGTTGCCGTCATTTCAATACCACGTTCTACTTTACATTCACAGCATCCCACAGAGTTCTCCTGACCTGGCTTCCTTCTCCATGTCTAGAATGAGGGGTTTTTGCTTAGGAGGGGAAGAAAGAGAAGAGCCGAGAGGACACAAACTAAAATAACATGTTACTTCTGGAAAGTCCTCTCCCAGTCATGATTGTGTGTCTTGGATTTGAGCAGATTCCAGGCGGTGAGGATGTGTTCTGTGTAATATTCCACAGTGTGACATCCTGCTGTCTCCAACTTTTTGGTCCAGGCCCTGTTCTGTGCTCCTCACAAAAGTCAGACTGAACGAAGGTCCTTTTAGCCTGTGTGTATGTGTATATGGTTTGGCTCTCTGGCTAACAGAAGAGAGCATTCTGTTCAGTCAGCAGCACGCAGTTCCTACCTCGCTAATAAGATTACTGTCACTGAAAGGAAATACAAGCCCTAGACCAGCCAGAAGGGGCAATTCAAAAGTCTGCCCAAGGGAAACCCATTCATTATGTTAGTGCTTTAAAAATCTAGGGGATTGGAAAGAAAATTGCCAACCTCCTGCAATTCCATTTCCCTCCCATAACGTCGTCATGGCAACTCAGCATCCCATCTCCATCCTCTCAAGTCAACTACATACATTGTGGTATTGAAGCAGGCTCCCTTGCCTCCCCCAAAATTTCCTTTGCCAAGAATTTTCCAGCTGGGAGTTAATATTATATAAGGTTGAAGAACAGCTTTTTTGGTCCAGGACCTGTTGTAAATGCCACTGTATTTGCATTGTAAGTTTGCATGGAGTTGGTAACCAAAAGAGAAATTCTTGATGATCCCTCCCCCAGAAAAAACCAACATTTCTAACATTTGTGTAATTTGACAGGAATATGCCTGTGTCAGTGTTACGTTGCCAAGCACAATATCCATAAAAGGCCTTTTATAGGCTTGCAATATCCTTATTTATAAGAACGGAAAGTCTTATTAGAGAAAATTTTGAGAGTTATGAGATTGAGTCATGCTCTTCAATTTAATCGCCGCTGACAAACAGCTTACTCTAGTGAAAATTTCGGGATTGGCTTTTGTATTGTGCTTTATTTTTTTCAGTTTTGTTGTTTGTTTGTTTTTAAAGATAAGGTATTTCAGTACTGCTTTGGCAATAGACAAAGAGAGTCCAAAAACAAAAAGGGCAACGGGACCTGTGAGATGGCTCTGGCAACTTCTCCAGGACCCAGGAGAAAACTGACCCCTGAAGCTGTCTTCTGACCTCCACACATATGCCACGGCACAAACATGCATGCACACACAAATACATGAATGAATGAATGAATGAATGAATGAATGAATGAATGAAAAATGTAAAAAAACAAACAACAACAAAAGGCTATGGGGATGGAGAGATGGCTCATCAATTAAGAGCACTGGCTGCTCTTCCAGAGGACCCAGGTTCAATTCCCAGCACCCACATGGCAACTCACAACTGTCTGTAACTCCAGTTCCAGGGGATCTGACACCTTCACACCAATGCATATAAAATAAAGCTAAATAAATTATTTTTAAAGTTTTTGTAAAAGCAGTACAACGGGGATTTTTTTAATCACCGAACTAGATAATACTAGCTTTAAGATTAGTTTATGGTTTGGGGATACAGCTCAGCTGGTAGAATGCTTGACACAATAATCACAGTACTGAGGCGAGAAGGGGAGATAGGAAGATTAGAAGTTCAAGGTCATTTCTCAGCCTCACCCCAAATTAGAAACCAGACTGGGCTACCCAATACACCATCTCAAAAGCAAACAAAGAACATTGAAAAGACATTCACTCACTCTGTTCTTTAACTCGGTAATTATTGTTTTTCCTTTTGGTTTGCTAATTTAGGGCCTTATTGTGTCGTTCAGGATAACCTTAAACTGGAATTGTAGCTCCGACTATCCCCCTGCTTCAGTCTCCCTGGCATAACAAGCAGAGGGTCCCATCATGCCTTGTTAGATTCAGATATGCCTTCATCGTTTGCCTTACCTTTAGGATTAGCAAAAGTGAGGTCATTATCAAAGGAAAAAAATCTTCATGATACTTATCAAAGAAGGATAAGGCAGGGACTAGAGAGATGGCTCAGTAGCTAAGGGCACTGCTGCTCTTCCAGAGGACCCATGTTTGATTCCCAGTACCCATAGCCATCTGTAACTACAAGCACAGGGGACCTGACAGTCTCTCTGGCCCCCATGAATATCTGCGCACATGTGGCTCACACACGCTCACACGTGCGACAACAGAACTAAAAGTCTTTAAACAGTTGATGAGGTAGGCAGACTTTTCTACTGCAAAGCCTCCCTGCACAGACCCAAGGGAAGAGAGAACCCAGCTCACCTCTGAATACGACACGGAAAGAGAAGGTGTAATGTGAAGCAGAGCTCAGAAAATTAGCAAGAGGAGCATAGTGGGTTAGAGGGATTACAGCCAAAGCGACATGAACCATTTCTGAGGGTAGAGTTGGGTGCTGAGATGGTGGTGACAATAAGGCATTGGATCAGATCAAGGGTTGGGGAGTCTCTCTAAGCTGACCTTGCAAGGTTCCCATACCAGAGGAGGCAGAGAGTACAGCAGTCAGCTGGAGGGCCAAGTACAAGCTACCCATTCCCCAAAGAAGGTGCAGAAAAGAAGACAAAAATGTGGGCGGTAATAAAGTTACGTGTAGTTTTTGGGAAAGCATTCAAAGATATACTATTAGTGCAATGGTTCTCAGCGTGGGGGCCATGACCCCTTTGCATTTTAGATATTTGCATTATGATTCATAACAGTAGCAAAATTACAGTTATGAGTAAGATTGGGCGGTGATGGTGCACACCTTTAATCCCAGCACTCAGGAGGCAGAGGCAGGTGGATCTGTGTGAGTTCAAGGCCAGCCTAGTCTACAGAGCCAGTTCCAGGACAGGCTCCAAAGCTACACAAAAAAACATTGTCTCAGAAAAAAAAAATAGTGAATGGGTTCTGATGATGTAGCAGGAAGCTGGGTTCAGTCATTAGCAGTGGGTAAGCTAGTTATGGTGGTGCACACCTATGATCCTAGCACTCAGGAGCGTTCAGGGTTCAGGATCATCCTAGGGCTTCGTAGTGAGTTTGAGATGGCTTGACCTACATAAAATGCTGTCTCAAGGAAGAAAGAGAGATGGGAAGATAGGGAGAATGGGGAGAAAGAGAAACAGAGAGACAGAGAGATAAGGAGGGGAAGATGCTGTAGTGTTAAACAACAATGATTTGGATCCTAGAATAAGTGTCTCTCTAAAAGAGTGGCTTGTGACAGGGACGACCACTAGTGTTGTCACCGGACAGGGGAAGGGATCAGACAAATCTAAGGTGAAGTCAGGATAGATGCTAAAAGACCTGGAATGCTACCCTGAAAAATTATTTTAATTTAGTACATGTATTGGTATGTGCAGGTATGTGCTCTCATGTGGAGGCCAGTGGGTGATTTTTGGAGAGCCTTGTCAAGTCTGACCCACCATTATTCTCTGCCATGTTCCCTTGAGATGGGATCTCTCCCTGAACCCGGCGCTTGCCCCTTGTAGACTAGGCTGCTGCCCCAGCGTCTTCCTGACCCACATCCCAACACTCCTTCGTCACCAGCAGCAGTGCTGAGGCAATAGGCGTGCATGACTGTGACCAGTTTTTTACATGGGTGCCAGGGATCTGAACCAGGGTCCTCGTGCTTGCTCACCAACACTCTCACTCACGGAGCCTCCTCCCCCTGCACCACTCTGAGGAATTTATACTTCACAGAGAAGTGAATGGCAGTCACTGGAACCCTTCCCAAACGGGGATCCATGCTGGGAAAGGGAAGTCGCCATGTAGCTTTAAAACCAAAGGAGTTCAAAGCTCGTGCTATTTTATTTTTGTCCAAAAGATATATAGTGAGTGTCTGCTGATTTTCCATACTCTTTTTGACTGAATCAAGTATGGCTTGTTGAGTGTACACTTTTAAGTCTTAGCAAGTAGGTGGGCAACCTCGGTGTCCTTGATTATGAAAACTGTGCTGCTCACTATCTTACCTTTTAACTCATTTCCATTGACCTACAAATGTCCCCAAAGCTCAGCCAGCTCCACCTGCACAGCTGGCCTTCATGACAGGCTGCCCAGCTTCCTTGTGGGGTGACACTCCTGCTGGGACTCTCCTTGAAGACTAGGGCAATTTAAAAAGTGCCAGATCACATTTGGAGCTGAGGAGAAGAAGCTGGCATTAAAAGCGTTGCAAGAGTTCTCCTGTTGGTGGCTCTTTGCAGTTTAGTACAACTGAAGAATGTCACCTTGGGAAGCAGCTGACTGCCACTGAAGCAAAGTGGTTGAAGGAGCAGAGGCTGCAACGGTGACAGAACCTGGCTCTCCCACTGATGAGAAAATCTCCACATCCTTAGTCCGTAGGCCCCACCTATTGGTAGTAGACAGCAGAGGTACAAGCATTAGACAGCAGCAGGAAGAAGGGTGACAGGGATTGAAGACCTGAGCTTGGGGACTTGGCCTTCACTGCCCCTTGGTTGTCTTGCCCAGTCATCTCCAATAACCGAGCCTCACCTGGCAAACGCCCTCGTCATGCTGGGGCTAAGCCCAGGGCCTCACACCTCCTGGGCTCAGGCCCTGAGCTGTGCCCACATAGGCTCTGGCCGCGTTCTGAATTCAGCTTGTACATCCTTGAGAGAGTAATCTTTAAACCTCTTTAAACCCCAAGGTTTTAATTTTTTAATTAATTGTTATGTGTGTGTATATGGTATACGTGAGGGTGTTTGTCACAGTGCATGTATCAGAGGACAATTTTGTGGAATCAATTATCTCTTCCCACCTTTGCACCGGTCTGGGGATTGAATTCAGGTCTCCTGGTTTACATGGCAAGTTACCTTCACTCACGGTGCAATCTCTCTGGCCGTCCCCTAGAGTTTTCACTTTCTTTTTAGCCAAGGTTGTATTTTCCGTGTAGGAATGATTGTGAGAATACAGTTATGTGGTGCCTTCAGAAAAATCTGCATAAGATGGGAAAGGACTACACAGAGATAAAGCAAAACAAACTGGTTTCCTCAAGTCTGAAATGCGTTCAGATTTTTCCAGAATAAAAAATTGTTTTTAAAGGTAGACTCAAAAAAATTGCCCGCAAGTTGGAGAAATATGCCTAAAACAATTAAGAGTCAGTGCTTGCAATGGATTAGGCTGAGATGGCCACACAAAGGTGCACATAGTATGTGGCATGTTCTGCTGAGATGGCTACATATGGTGACATGGTATGTGGCATGTTCTGCTAAGATAGCCATTTATGGCGATGTGGTGTGTAGCATGCTCTGCTGAGATGGCCACATGTGGTGACGTGATTCTAGCATGTTGATGTGAGCAGACTAACTTCCAGGATGAAGGAGAGCTGCTGGGATGCCTCCCTTTCTGCAGGACTTTAATCTGTCGTTTTCCACATGTATTCCAGCATCTCTGCAGTCTCTGCAGTTTTGACATTTTAGTCCACTGGCAGCACTGAGTGGCGCTCTCTCTCTCTCTCTCTCTCTCTCTCTCTCTCTCTGTGTGTGTGTGTGTGTGTGTGTGTGTGTGTGCGTGCTGTTTTGGGACAGTGGGTAGGGCAGAGTCACCACTACTTTATTCCTCCTTAGACATGCTCAGATGTTTTGTTACTAGGAAACTACTAGGACTTGGAAGTGGGTTTGTTTAGGTGGTTGATTGGTTGGTTGGTTGGTTCTTGTGTCCTGCTTTATTGGTGACTTTCTCCTAGAAGACTGCATTGCTGTGAATTAATAAAGTGAACACTTGAAATCAGCATGAAAGGAAGGATAGTTAAAAGTCCCTGCAGAATGTTCTAATCTGCTTATATATTATTTGTGACTGAAATTTTGTTTTTAAAGAACACTGATGTTACCAGGCAGATCTCTGTGAGTTCAAGGTCAGCCCAGTCTACAAAGTTCTAGGACTGCCAGGACTGATACACAGAGAAACCCTATCTCAAAAAAAAATACAAAAAAAAATTGGTGCTACTTAGGGTTGTAGTAGTTTATACATATGGCCATACCTGCTTGCTTGTACATCGCAGTAATCAGCCTTACTTCCCAGAGCTGCCCAGCCAGGTCTAAAGTGAATCCTGTATGCTGAATCAAACACTGGTGTGTTTGGTAGACACGATTACCTTTAGGAATCTTCCCAGTGGAGAGCACAGAAGCCAGCTTCTCTATGAAAACCTCTCTAGGAGGCTGGGGACACGTGGGCACTTGAGCTGAGTGACTCTTTACTCACCAGCTCCTTGCTGGGTCTCCTTTCCTAATTATCCCTTAGCATCTGGTCCTTGTCTGTAGAACTGAAGCTCTGAGAGGGGAGGAATGAAAGGAAGAAGGCAAAGTATCAGCGTCCTGTTGAAAGCTGCATAACTCCAAACGTATGGGAAATACATTCTTCTGCCTATCAGAAGAGTTGCCAAAATGGGTCATAAATCCATTGCTGCTGATGAAAATGGCAATGACATCCCAAGGACCCAGAGCACTGGTTCTCACCCTTCATAACGCTGTGACCCTTTGATACAGTTCCCCACATTGTGATGACCCCCAACCATAAAACTATTTTCGCTGCTGCTTCATCACTGTAATTTTGCTATTGTCATGGATCATAATGTAAATATCTGTGGTTTTGGATGGTCTTAGATGACCCCTGTGGTTCAAACACCAAAGGGTCATGACCCACAGGTTGAGAACTGCTAAGCTAGAGGTACAGCTCAGCAGTTAAGAAAAGGACCCAACTTTGGGTCCCAGCACACGTGTTGGAGGACTCACAGCCTCCTGAAACTCTGGCTCCAGGAAATACGACACCCTCTTCTGGCCTCCAAGGTCACCCTGTACATATAGCATACACTCACACAGACACATTCACATAAATAAAAATAAAATAAACCTTGAAAAACAAAAAGGAAAGAAAAAGGAACCAATGGAACAAAACTTTTTGGCTCAAATATTGAGTATACTTAGACATGGAATTCATAGCTTTCAGAGAGCTTTGTACGGTAGCTGTTTTAAGACAGTCTACTCTGCAAACAAAATTTCTCAGCACTAACATCTGTAGATGCAAAAATTAGAGATGGATTTTATGGTCTGAAGCCTGTCTCATTCTAAGTTTCATACTTAGTAGCAGGTATGTGAACTGGTCATGAAGATGCACAATTCATTAAATGGATTTTTTTTTTTTGGTTTTTCGAGACATGGTTTCTCTGAAGCTTTGGAGGCTGTCCTGAAACTTACTCTGTAGACCAGGCTGGCCTCCAACTCAGAGATGCCCCTGCCTTTGCCTCCTGGGTGCTGGGATTAAAAGCTGGAGCCACCACCCCCAGGGCTCATTAAAAGGATTTTTAACAAATTGTTTAATAATCAAATTTTTTTGTATTTTTTTATATTTTGATCAGTCATGTTTGAACAGTTGAATTAATCATCCTATCTAGATCTATGTTGATATTCAGAGGCTGTGTTTCTGCTAGAGGATATAATATAGTGATTAGTACATATTCAAGCACAGTTACATTAAGAAAATGCGTTCAGGGAGTGGGTTGCATGGATATGCAGGAGGAAAGCTGAACAGTATAACTACTATCATGAACCCTCTTTAAATGTTTAAGTCTGAGGAGATAGCTCAGTTGGCAGAGTACATTATGCAAATACGAGAACCTGATTCCAATCCCCAGAGCCCACGGAAAACACAGGACTTACACTTGTAATCCCTGCCACGGGGAGGTGGAAACAGGCCAATCTCTCAGGCATAAATTTACAACAATGTAATTCCTGGTTTTAAAATAGAATATTAGTGTATGGAATCCATGAGCAAGTCTCTGATGACCCCTGGCCCACAGCATCCTAGATGGTGTGTACCGTAACAGGTCGTAGGCGATACACTGCATCTCTGAGATGCACTTAATGCCATTAATGTTATTAACTCACAGTGTCGCCTTTGTTCCACAGGATGGTCTGACACCGCTGCACTGTGGGGCAAGAAGTGGCCATGAGCAGGTGGTAGAGATGTTGCTTGACAGAGCTGCACCCATCCTTTCAAAAACCAAGGTAAGGTCTTTGGTTTCCGGACATTGTACTCTGCTCAGACCAGATTCCCTTCACCGTTATTTTTTACCTGAGTCTTTTGAATGAGAGGAAAGCATAGGCACTGTGACTACTAAATGTAACATATAAGTTCGTCATCAACTCTTTAGGGGTGCTCAAAAGAGTTTGAGGACTGGGGAAATGGCTCAGAGGACAAAGTCTTGCTCTGCCATCATGGAAACTATGCTTCAAGTTACCGGCATCCATGGAAAAGCTAGAAAAACCAGTCAAGTGTGATAGCCACCTTCAATTCCAGCATTCAGGAGGCAGAGGCAGAGAAATCCCCCTGCCAGCTTGCTAGCTGAACTAGCCTGAACTGCTGTGAAGCAGGTTCATCAAGAGACCCTCTCTCAATAAACAAAGTGAAAGGTGATCGAGGCAGACTATCCACTGTCTACTTTGGACATCTGCATACATGCACAAGTGCACGCACACCTACACACGTGTATGCCTACACACATGCAAACACACACACACTGACAAAATAAGTTTCGGCTTATGAAGCTTTTCTGTACAGTGTGTTCTACAGTAAAGCCATTTTTTCATCTGTTATTTTTGGTCTCTTTTGCTTACTACTTAATGTTACACAATAAGAATTTCAGAGCTCGGCTGAATGCTGTTTTAAACTCTTGAAAAGAGCTACTTTCCGGCTGGGTTCTGAGTCTTTTTCTACATTGCACCCCTAGCTTTTTCTTGAGAATTCATAGACTGGGGCTGGGGGTCCAGCTTAATGGTAGAGCATTTGCCTGACATACACTGAGTCCTCAGTTCCGTATGTGTTAAAACATTAAACTTCTGTTTGTCCATCCGCCACCATGTGGGATCTGACGGGTAAGCCCTTTCCATTCCCAGCAGTCTACTGGAACCCTCGTGTCGGCTGACAAAACCAAATGTGCATCTCTCTCCATGTTTAGCAATCACAGGGGCAACTTGGGATTGGTCATAACAGGGAACCCACACACCCTCGGCTTTGGGATGTGGGATACCCTGAGAGCTTTGCTGTTTTAGAAGGCTGGCGGCTAACCCTTGGCCAGCATGCTCACATGCAGGTGTGTGCCTGCTCAGTATCTCTCTCCGAGGCGAGGCTAGCAAGCCAGCTCCTGGCAGCCTCTTGTCTGTCCTAACATGCAGTAACGGACGCGTGCTGCCATGCCTGGCTTCTTATGTCTGTCCCAGGGTTTCGAACTCAGATCCTCAGCAGCATTGTCCTGCAAGCATATTGCCTACTGTGCCATCTCCCTGACGCTCCAAATCGGCCTCCTGACTGTCTGCCCTACCTGTACTCACCATGTCTTTAAGTGGGTGTCACCTGAGGAGGGCGCCTTTCCGGTTGGCGCCCCTTACACTGTTTAGAAAGAACTATCTGGTGCTGTTGGTACCTACTTGCTGCCTGGGCTGAACCTTCCTACCTCTGTTGACAATCAGTACAAGCCCCTGTAGACAGGCCCACTGATTTGGGCACTCCTACAACAGAGACTTCCAGCCCAGGTGACTCCAGGGATGTCAAGTTGGTGGTTAAGTCTCACTAGGACAGAGCCCTCTTTCTGTTTTTGACACCACTTCCCACGTATAGTCCCCAGAGTCACACGTTCTCTCAGACTTGTTTACTCAGGCCTCTCTCTAAGACTACACGAAAACATGAAGCAAAGAAGACTTGGCAGAAGTGAGGGAGCACAGATGCCCGTGGGTGGCAGTGTCAAATGGGAAATGTCCCAGCCCTTGGTGACACCTTTAGTGTCTACTCCAGTTCAGAATGCTGGAGGGGAGGGGGGTACTTTAGGCAGGAACATTCAAGTTCCCCACTGGTGGCCCAAGTATTTGAATTCATGCCGGTACTTATTGAGCTCTTGTCTCTTTTTTTACCTGCAGAACTCTCTGCTAGGCAGTTGGGGGAAATACTGTCATAAATTTCTTGCCTGTAAGGAGCACAGATCCCGGAAATGCATGCCCATCAGGGGGAGTGTGGGGATGGCTAAGCTATTTCACTTTGCTTTGTCTTGGAGTTTTCCATGTCCTGTTACAATAGATGCAGAGGGAATAACTGGTCTCGGGGCATTCAGATGCACTTGGTTCCCCAGGCATGTTTATTAGGTCTTTAAAAACTACTGATAAATTATTTATTTTTTTGAAAGCCGAATTTGTTGTTGTTAGAGAGGAAAGGGTTTGCCTGGCTTATTTAATGTGCTAGATTATATTACTAGTAATTTTAAACCTTCTCATGGTAAATGGTGCTACTGGAACGCCCACACACACACACACACACACACACACACACACACACACACCGGCTCGCTTACTTATCTTCCCTACCCAACTGAACCTTGAAAGTTGACCGACATTGACCTAACCCACCTTGCTTCGATTTCTTTGGAAAAATATCCACGGAAGAGAGAATGTCGTTCCAGACGTTTTCCCTTTGGTTCTGTGTCTTGAACCTAAGGCCTCCTCTGCTCTCTGAAGTCTTGAAATGAATCTTCACCCAGCACATAACCATGACTAAAGCCAAGCTGATTTACGCTGAGGTCACATTGCTGGGCCAATGGCTTCCTTTTACTCATCGTTGACACACGGGGGCACCAGATTTCTAGAAACGGATGGCGGTTCCCCTGCTGCCGGGTGAGATTAGATAATGAGGTAGTGTGTCTCTGCAGAGCTGTTCTCTTTCCTCGTCATCTACAAGGGTGAATAAAAACGAGTAATAAACTAGAACTGCTAATCAGCTCTCTCTTGATTATTTATTCATCTGTAGTTACAAAAGATAAGAAATCCTACCAAGAATGCAGTGAGTTTCTGGGCCCTGGTACAGTCCATGTAAGTTTTAAATTGAGGAAAGAAATTATCCTTGCCGGTTTGTTTTCGGTTGACGTGAGAAAGGGAAGATTTTTTTCAAAGCAGGTGCCATTCAAAACAACTATCATCACCTTTTAAAAGCATAAGGTATTTCCAAATGAAGAACTGGAGTTTTTAACATGCTCGCGTTTGTTCTGTATCTGGAGCATTTGAGTTAATAAAGACAAAGCATTGAGTCCTCTCTTCCTTATGTGTTCCAGAATGGACTGTCTCCATTGCACATGGCCACCCAAGGGGACCATTTAAACTGCGTCCAACTCCTCCTGCAGCACAACGTGCCTGTGGATGACGTCACCAACGACTACCTGACTGCCCTCCATGTGGCGGCCCACTGTGGCCATTACAAAGTTGCCAAGGTTCTTTTGGATAAGAAAGCTAATCCCAATGCCAAAGCCCTGGTGAGTTGTCCTGCTGTCCAGCCGTCCAGCACAGGGCGCCGCCTTGTGTGTGGAGGGATTGCTCCTCCAGAGATAACAACAGAAAGTCCATGAAATTGGTGTACTTTGTTAATCTTTGCAAATGTCTTTGGGAGTGGACAAAGCCTCCTGTGCTGATGGGAACAAAGCTGACCAGGCTCTTCAAGGTCTCACTCACGCTCCCCTTCCACAAGTGAAAGCCTGACAGTAAGTACATGGTAACAAAAATCCCGACATGGCCAGCTTCTTTCGCCTCACTGCGGTAATGTTACTATTAGACACTGGAGTTGTTTTTCCTGACAAGTAAAATCTTGAAGCAAACCAGGCATGATGGCTTAAACCTTTAAACCTCTTATCCCAGCACTTTTAAGGCTGAGGCAGGAGGATTACCACGAGTTCAAAACCAGCCTGATTTAAAGAGACTTTGTTTCAGAAAAATCATACACACACACACACACATACTTACATACATATATATATATATATACATATATGCTATATATATATATGTAAAATAGCAGGAAGAGTTCTGAGTTCGAGAACAGCCAGAGCCAGATCTATATAACAAGTTCCAGGCCAGTCAGATCTACACAGTGAGCCCCTGTCTTGAAAATAATAATAATATTTGTCCAAGAATTTGTGAGCTGACATGATGTCAACCTTTGGTTTCTCTCGATAAGACAATGTTTGTTATTGTTAAAATAAATAATCCTTAGCAAGGTGTTTATAGTTCATTCAGAGCAAGCACTTGGTGCTCCGGGAGAGAACGAAAATGCCCAGCTTTAGAGAAACCTTCATCCGACTAAGCCTTTCAGGCAGATAGACATCTGCTTCCCTCCCATGCTATATAGTCTTCAGAGCAGTTGAGACTCCAGGCCTCGGCAGCCCTTCAGGTGCCTGAAATTCAGGGTGGGGGAGGGGACTGGAATTCCACACACGGCAGGCAACTCCTTTATCATTGTAATCTCAACAGCTTTCACTTCTGGAGCTGTTTGACCTGCCCAGTGTGTCAAAAGCCTCTGCATTCTGAGAAGGGAGGGGAGCTTTGAGGGCCATGACTCACCCATTTTTCCATATGAGAAAAAAAATAGGCCTTAAAGCAGGGCGTGTGCTCAACTCTCATTTTCCTATGACTAAAGTTTTCCCAACAGAGGGACAATGTAGACACTTACCCTGGGATGAACTATGGCCAAAGAAATGGCCCGAGGAACCTCCTTGGAGGCACGTGCTTTGTGTGACTTTGCCCTCAGCCTGTAGGGCGGCGAACCTTGATATTGCACCCTGTCCTAAGAACAGTTGAAATGGGCAGCCCAGTCTCAGCTGATGGGCAGAACAGTCTGGTGGGTAATTTGCTTAAAAGCCAATTCTTTAATGAGATTAAACATTCAAGCAAATGAGCTAAACATTGTTGCATCATCTAAGTTTGGTTTGGTTTTTCAAGACAGGGTCTCTCTAAGTAGCCCTGGCTGTCCTGCAGCTCTCTGTAGACCAGGTTAGCTTCAAACCCAGAGACCGCCTGCCTCTGCCTCTGGAGTGCTGGGATTAGTGCACCACCATGCACCAGCCTTGAGCTGCAGTCTTAAAGCGGCAGAATAAATGAAACTCTCCAGCACTTGTAAATACCAGTGTCCTGTCACACAAGTCTGAGCAGGCACTGACTAAGGTTGGCCATGTAAACAAACTTACATCACTGTGCTGGTGGTTTTCCCAGCTGTTTTTGTATTTCAAGTGAGACAGAAGGGAACACTAGCTCCCATAACTCAGTACATAAAGGAATGGAAAGTACTCAGTGAACATACTTTGGTCCCCAGCTACTGAGTCTCAGGAGGCAAAACTTCAGATCCAGGCAAAAGAGGAGGCAGGACACTAAAGTCTCTCTCAAAGACAAATCCGTCCTCCCTGAATATAGGATTTTGATGTGCTAAGTTTTCAAATCTGGACAGCACTGATTTTGTAAGGCTTGTGATTCTTGTACAGTTAGTTGCCCAGAGGCAGGAAGAGAATGGGCACTTGAGTCATAGTAAGTCAATCAAGGTTAATTGAAGGACTAACTGGCTAGAGTGAGGTTAGGCAGGTCATTTAAAGACCCCCCCAAAAAAAAGGCAAGGAAAAGGATATTAGCTAGTTTGATGGCACATGGCTGTAGTCCCAATAATCTGAAGGGGAAAGTAGGAGGGCTGGAGAGATGGTTCAGTGATTAAAAATGTTAGCTGCTCTTCCAGAAGACTCGGGTTCAATTCCCAGCACCCACATGGCAACTTAGAATTGTCTGTAACTCCAGTTCTAGGGGAATCTGGCCTCCATACATGCAGCACCCATACATATAATAATTTGTAAAAGGAGACAATCAGAAGGCGCATGTCTGAGTCCAGCCTGGCCAACGTCATGAGACTCTGGGTCAAAAATCAATTGAGATTTTATTTTTAAATCATTTTAAACAGTGAACTCCAAAATAAGGAAGTATATGAACAGTTTTGCCTTACAACCAACTTATACTTCCTGCTTATGACTACCTGGGAAACTTAATAGGACCCAGTCCAGATTCCTTTTCCTTTCAGGAAAGAAGAGCCATGCATCTAACCTCTTGTGGTTTTTTGAAGTCTGCTGGGCACCTCGTTTTCCTAGGCTTTTGCTGCCCACGGTGGAAGTGACTTCCATGAAATGAAGTAGATATATGTGTTTGTCCCTTTGCAGAATGGTTTCACTCCTCTCCATATCGCCTGCAAAAAGAACCGGATCAGAGTAATGGAACTCCTCTTGAAGCACGGTGCATCCATCCAAGCCGTAACCGAGGTGAGAGGAGGATGCTTTGGGGGTTCAGGGGACAAGAGAGTTGCATTAGCAAGGGGGGGGTCCCCTCCAGAGAAGCAGCTAGTTTTGCTTGTGTTATTGTCACAAGCCACATTCTTCATTCTTCACGGAAAGGGCTCTTAAGATTGAGGAGGGAGCAGACATGGGTGTGAGTGAGTGGGTCAGTAGGTGATATGAATGTAGCCCAGGACAGAAATATATTCAGAGCACACAAAGTGTGGACTCCACTGTGCAAAGGGGCTCTGAGCTAAATCTTGCACGCACTGTTTCTCTCTGGAGGCCAGTTTGTCTCGTAAGGGGCACTTCATTGTCACCTGTTGGGTAGATGCTGGCTGTGCCACCAATGATTCACACTTGGCTGAAGCTGGCTGGCTGACACTGCCAGTGTGCCTAGGCTGAGAAACCTGTTCCTGTGTTATGAGGGAGTAGTAAGGACAGTTCTGGGTGGAGGTTTACCGTGAAGGAAGTATGGGGGTGCTACAGTTGGGAGCAGAGCAGCCCTGTGTCTTTGCATCCGTGTGAGTTGGCACTGGGTCTCCACAAAGCAAATAGGCTGGGTTGCGCCGCCAGAACTGTCCCACCCAATCCTACTTTTCCACCTTCCCAACTCTGTCTGCAAATTCTAGCCTTGGCTCTTCTCCTAGAGCAGGTGTGTGTGTGTCACAGTCATTTGCCAGGCTGCTCCTGCATATCTGGGCCTCGTTTCCCATGAAATCTGCCCCTTACTGCTGTTGCCCCTTACTGCCTGCTGAGTCTCCATGGGACAGTCACAAGCATGTTTCTGTCACTGCTCTTATCCAGTTGTCTATCTATGACCCTGTGGCTCCTGTGACTCCAGAGCCTCTAGACCAAGCCTTCTGTCCTCACAAGCTCACAGTTGAGAAAGTCTTGATGAATGCTTGATACCGGATACAAATCTCCTGTAACTGCTGCTTGTAACGCAGTGTTTTTTTGTCTTGCCTTGAAACACTTCTAAATCCTGAACACACCATGATTGGAAAAACCGGTTCAAATTTGCCCTTTCACAAGACCGTGGTGTTTTTGTACAGATCAGTGATTGTAGCTCAGCACAGGGAAGCCCTTAGAAGTCAGAATTGACTCCTAGACAAGCACTGGGCTGAAGCTGTGCTAGTGTCCAGAGACACTGGCAGCACTGTTAAGCCATTGCCACACTCCAGCTCCCGAGAACTTGAGAGGGCGGTTCCCTGACACCTAACTCCCTATTCCTGGAAAAGGCTGCCAAACTGTAACAAAAACCCTCCTGTCCTCCTCTTCTTCAGTCTTCACTATTCGGAGGCTGGGCATACTTCATCTTCTTTCATCATTTGCTTTTATATGTGCAATGTATATATGTGTATATATGTATGTGTGCATATGTATATATTGTATGCATACATATTAGTGTATATGTTATATAGATATATAGCATATATGTAGCATATACATATGTATAATATACATAGATAGATAGATAGATAGATAGATAGATAGATAGATAGATAGACAGACAGACAGATAGTTGAACCTACAGCCTTACCCATGCTAGGCAATACTCTACCTCTACCACTGAGCTTCAGAACCAGCCCTGTCATGTAGTTTTTGACATCTCAAATTTCCATAGAGATTAAGTATACTTTTTCTCTCTTTAAAAATAAAGGCCAATTTTTCTATTCATATCTTTTATCAATTTCATGTTGTAAACTAATTAAGTTCTGAAAATTAAAAATGGTGCAAAGTTATATGAGTAACACAAGTAAATTGAACTCCTTCACATGATTGCTGTCTTGAGACTTTCTCTTTCTGACTTCTCTTCTTATAGCTCTCATCCATGGACATATTCAATATAAAATACCCTAGAACCAATCAGTTCTGCTTTACATTGTTCAGGGAAGGGGGTATACATGTGTATATAGGGTTTGAAACAAACACTATTGTCCTCAATATGCTTTAAATACATTTCATTCATTTACATTGCTTGTAGAGTTAACATATTGAATGATTGGAATGCCTAATATTGTTAGAGAGATGGTTTGCATTGGCTACTTCATGCATCATAGGTTTTATTTATTCAGAGTTCATGGGAATTCCAAGTCCAGAGCAGTATTTGAATTAGTAGTCAACATTTTACTAATGTGTAGGTTATTGCCGTGCCTCACATATAGACAAGAAAAGTTCCATAGCAAAGGAAGATAAACTTTATTTCTGTCTCAACTTTCTCTTAAATCCCTATCAAAAGTACAAAATAAATGTTTCCGTAATAGAGATGTTGTTAAATCTATCATAATCACAGATATTAATTTAGGGAAGCGACAGTTATGTTGACATGTTCACCTCATAGAATCTGTGACATAATGGTGAATATTTTGATGTCTTTTCATTTGAGTCCTGAGCTGGTTAAGATGGATTCGTGGGTTGTGGGTGAGAGGATGAATGGACAGATGGAGTGAATGGGGATGGAAAGATGGATGGATGGAGTAAGTGAGTGGATGGGTAGATGGATGGATGGGGTTGGTGGATGAGTGGGTAGATGAATAGATGTATGACTAGACATGTGGATGTATGTAGGAAGATGAATGGAAGCAGGAGGTCAGGCAGGCAAGAACATGGTCAATCCCCATGCATGATAAGCCAACAACCAACATTTTTTTCCTTCCCCTTTAGTCGGGCCTTACCCCAATCCATGTTGCTGCCTTCATGGGACATGTAAATATCGTGTCACAGCTAATGCATCATGGAGCCTCCCCAAATACCACCAATGTGGTAAGTACCCTTAACAAAGAAGTTCAGTTGTGAGTTTTTAAGTGACTTATATATTTACTATAAGTAAGTTCATTATTTTGTCTTACCACTTCAGCTACAGAGTTTGAAAACATCTTTGGTTTCATTGCTTTGAGGACAAGATCAAGTCAATATTCGCTTGGCTAAAAATTGTTAAGGTTTAAGACATGTTCCCAAGTATTGCGAGGACATACTCCTGTATACTAGAGTGTAAATGCAGTGCTGTGAAGGTCTTTGATAGAATCTTTCAAATGTACTACATGTTGGAGGGCGTGATTCACACAGTGTCATCATATATGTGAAGAAGTCATTTCACATAACTTCAGCGTCATCTGCTTTAAGAGGGTTCTACCATGTTGTAGCAAGCCCATGGAAGTCTGAGCAAGCAGAGTACCAGGCAATGTTTTCCCCCACACTGAGCACCACTGTGAAACCCATGAGATGATTTAATTACCTGAGGAGTAACTACTCACCCTGAGCATGCTGGGTCTGTTATCCGACCTTGTTTTACAGACTTTCAAATTTAACATCATCCCTTTAGCACAATGGATCTCAAGCATACGACTGACTGCCCATTCAACTCGCAAGCAATAAAGAAGTAAAAATAAGCAGTATTCATCACAGAGGAGATGTGCCATGAGGTTTTATACATGTACTTATGTAGGGTTAAATCCAGACGTAACATTCTTTCATAAAGAACAGGGTGTGACAAAGCAAACATCTCCAGCCCCTTCCCAAGAAGCACATGGCATATCTCCTGTGAGGCCACCTTCCTGTCTACTCAGGTAGATGGCCTGTTGGGCAAAGCTTATTTGATCAAAGTCACTTCAGTGTGGGGTCTGCTTATGAAAGCTAATGTGTTTGGTTCTTATTATCATTTATGTGTTGTCATTTTTGTTGAATGAATAATCCGAGCTAGAGACTGTTGAGTGAAAGGGTAGAGTGGGGTGGACCAATGCCCCTCATGATGGTACCAAGAAATGTGATTTTTACCTACTTAGGTAACTGGAGTCAGGCCATATCTGACCTTCAGTGTGGTTTTGGTCCCCCTGTGCAGTGTTTATGTTTAATCATGATAGACAGTATTTAAGAGCTGATAAATTGACACTGATATCCAGACTGCCAGTTCTTTGAAAATAGGATGAGGCACCACAGTTAGCCTGCAAATGCAGGTCTGGTAGGCATGGGCCTCTCCCCTTAATCTTGCTCACCTGCCCTGCTTCGCCGTTTGTCTCTTCTCCAGCCTGTGAGCACTGGTACCTTTTCAGCCCTGAGGATACCTTGCTGTAGACCCCTGAGCTGTGCTTCTGATAACATTGCCAGCTGGGTTCCTCAAGGTTACACCATGTCCTTGACACCCTGGCACAGCTTCCTGGGAAAGTTCTTACTTGTTTATTTTTCTATATTTCCAGCGAGGAAGTGCTGAGGGCAATTCTTTGTTTAAAAACCAGTCACTATAACCTCATGCCAACAAAGCATTAATTTTGAGAGTCACCATTAATTGACTCTGGCTTATGTTCCCCAGAGAGGTGAAACAGCATTGCATATGGCGGCTCGGTCAGGCCAAGCGGAAGTGGTGCGGTATCTGGTACAAGATGGCGCTCAGGTAGAAGCAAAAGCTAAGGTAAGGGTAAGACACGGGGTCTCAAAACTGAAACTGAGGCAGAAGCCTGGAGTTCAGTCAACCTTTTTGTGAATGCTTAATGTCTCTCAAAAAAGGGTTTTATTCATAAGACCTTCTGGTGATGAAGGTCTCCACCCAGGATCATATAAGAATAATCTACCATCATGGCCATTCAGCTGTGTAGCACAGCTATGCAAAATAAGGAACTGTCCTGGGCACATCCCAAGCCCCTAACAGGTTAGGAACAGGATCTAGGCAGGTTCAGAGCTCTTCATACTGAGATGATTTTAAGGAGGAAGTTTCTAGAACAATCACAGCCTGTAAATGTGAGTGCACATTTTGGGTTGACTTGTATGTCAGTTGGCACAGCCTCAAAAGGAAAAAGGATGTGGTTTTCTTTCCCTTATATAAAATATGAGACCATAATTGTCCCAGATGCAGATGAGGGCTGTGAAAGACTGGCTCATACCAGAAGTCTGAGCATTTGAGAGGCTCCACTACCACCTCCCTGACTGTCTCTTGACTTTTTGATTCTCCTTCAGTGGCAGCTGTGTGAGGATCCTAGTGTAGCTTGCAGACCCTGGTCTAGAAGATCACAGCTATGCTTCCAACTTAGTGAAACAGAAATGACCAGAAAGGCAGTATCCTCTTCACTGGTAGTGAGAGCCCTCATATTCATGAGTGTTGACTACAGCATATCTAGTAGATACTGCAGATGACCTATACTTTTAATTTCCTGAAGGAGGTATGATGGCTAAGACCAGTTTCCTCAGCTGACTGATTGAAGTTGAATCTTGATCCACCAACAAGCAGCTGAGTTACACAGGGCAAATTAATTGATGTCTCTGTGCTACCATTTCCTTATCTAGAATAGAACTGTTCAATGTTGCTTCACGTCATCCCAGATATATAGGTTTATAAAGCAAGCCACAACATAAACCCAGTCTTTATGATAGATCATAAACACACTTTATATCAACTCTGTGACATGCATAGAAACTCAGCATTTATTAAAGTTGAAAGCCATTCTGCATATGCTATTTATTTTTCATAAAGAATTAAATATTGGCTGAATAACTGATACTCCAGGATGTAGAATATCTTCAAAGTTTTTCAGGGTTCATCCATACTTTGATTTCATAATTGTCAATGCTTGAGACCACTGCTTTGCATAAATACATGCTATAAAATGTTGAAGGCCATTTCAGAAATGGTTGGAAATTCTGTCGTAATTGAGCCAAAAATTCATCTAATGATTGTTTGTGAAACTCAAGTCAGCAACTGAAGCAGCAATTTTAAAAACCAGCACTCTGCCACATTCCAATGCCTACATATATTCATATGATACTCACATGCTTAGGAATGTCAATAGGAAAATGTTGAAAGTCTTTGCTTCCAGTGATTAAACTATGGTGTCTCTGTAAGAGCAGGAAACATTGTATGTGCAGTGAAGAGCACTGAGGTTCATATTGTACAACAGCACAGAAACTGAACCAATGTATCTAAGCAGTGTTTGTTGGTGTTGTATGGTAGGGTCATGTGTGCAGTGCAAAGTACTCATGTTTCATATTCAGAACCAAAGATACGATGAAGCTCTAACGGGGACATGGGCAGGCGCTGACAGAAGCCCTTCATATGTGTATGGTTTTTGAAATAATTTTTGGTTCCTATGGGTCCGTGTGTCCTTGTTGAGTTAGTAACTTCATATGAGGATGTGACCCACAGCCAAGAGTTCTCAAACAAGACACATGGATGGTAACGACTTCTGTAAAGATGTCTGAGGTAATATGGGTGGGATACTCCAAACAGGGCCTGAGGAATGGATGGCAGCAAAGTTCTGGGGTTGAGGCAGCCATGACATAGGGGTGTGAACTTTTCCTTTGGTTTTTCTGTCCTTAGGATTCTTCCTGCTTGCTGTGGCATCTTGGTGTCCCCTCTTATTGCTGGTGTTAGTTACTTCCCTCATGGCTATACGCAGATATTTGAAAAATAGTGATTTAAGAGAGAAATAGTTTATTCTGACATATGGTTCAAGGGGGTTCATTCCTCATTGATGGAAAAGACACAGCATGGCAGCTGGAAGCCAGCAGATCATGCATCTGCGGCCCAGAAAGCAGAGAAGGAAGAGAAAATGAAGTTGGGCTATCAAACCTCAGGGCCCAAACTCAGTGACCCACTTGCCCCTCCCTCACCAGGAGGCTGTAGTTCCTAAAGGTTCCACAGCCTTCCCAGACAGTGCTACCAGCCCAGGAGCAAGTGCTCAAACACATGAGCCTGCAGGGGACACTTCAGGGCCAACCCGCAGCGAACCCCCTATGCTTCCTGTTGGCTGTGTAGTCTTTCTGGCATTGCTTTCAACCTTCACGCAAAGAAGTAACCATATTCTGTTTAACCCTTCTCTCTGCCTTTACTGCCAGAGAGGCCTCAAGAAATGCTATATTTCGGTGGGTATATCACATTGGGTATTTGGGGGTACCTATCTGGGCAGATTAGGAAGAGGTGGCATTCCTACTTATCTCAAGTCCTCTCGGGTGCAGGACTCAGTCAGTGCCTGACTTTGGGTGAACTATAATAAGTTAGCCCTTTGTTGTCATCAGAATGCACAGCCTGACAAACCCCCGAAGGAGGACCCCAGCATGGCCTTATTTTGCCTTCCTTAGCTTTTGACTGTGGGGAAAGGAAAGCACTAAAGTCATGTTGGGATGGTTTGCAGGAGTAAGTATATCTCCTAGGCATTCGAGTTTCATTAAGATTTATTCTCATTCCCCCTAATCCACGCCCCTCTCCAAAAGAGTCACTGTAGATTAAAACCGGTGTCCTGTGGCAGGTAATGAAGAAATGATGCACAGGTGGAAATCCCTTTCATACTCTTATCTGAAAAGTCTAAGGGCCCTTAAGAGCCCCCATCCTCGCATTTCCAAACGTTGTCGAAACAGAGAAGTGAGGTTCCTTTTAGCAATGAATTAGAGTTGCACATACCTCAGACATGGGGCGGCTAACATTCCCTGCATTTTTCATGTGGCACCACTGCTTCCCGAGCTCACAAACCTTGTGTTTCTACCTTGCATTTAGGATGACCAGACCCCACTCCACATTTCAGCCAGACTGGGGAAGGCGGATATAGTGCAGCAACTGTTGCAGCAAGGAGCATCGCCCAATGCGGCAACAACTTCCGGGTACACCCCGCTTCACCTTTCGGCCCGAGAGGGGCATGAGGATGTAGCTGCGTTCCTTCTGGACCACGGAGCATCTTTATCCATAACAACAAAGGTATGAGGGCTTGGCTCCCGAAGCACAGCCTTCTTGGAGTCTCCCGCACAGTGATGGCTTAAGAGGCTGTGGTTCTGGGTCTATAATGGGACCCCCAGGCTAGTCATGGATGTGGCCAGAGAAGCCTTGTTCAGCAGGGAACTAATTCTTCATGTCTGAGGAATTTTCTTTTGTTCTTAAGTTTCTCAATATGTCATCTTGTAAGAATACCCTATTGACATCTAGAATGGGGGAGGGCATTGTTTTGTTTTGTGGGGGTTGCTTGTTTTTTGCAAAGTACTTGAGAGGTTTAAATGGCAGTTTGGACCACACCTACTGATTTCCTTTGCTGGGATCAAAAACGTAAACCACACTACAAATTTCAGTTCATTGGTGCTTCTATACATCTTGTTTCCTTTCCTTTTCATTTTCTGTGGAAACATAAACTAAAACTCCTTTTCCGAGTAACATATCCTTATACTTAAATTTTGAAGTCAAGGCATTTTCAAAAGATATAAGTTGGATTAATTTAGCAGCATTTATAATCAAGTGTACTTTAGCAGTTCCTTCCTGAGTAATCAAAAAACTGAAAAACATAATAGCGTACAGTATCCAGACTCTCTGAGTATTTTCCATCTTTACGTGGCTTATTTATTAATCTATTATTATTATTACTCAATTTCTTTCACTTTTATTTATTTTTCTCTGAGACAGGGTTTCTCTTTGGAAATCTGCCTGCCTCTGCCTCTGGAGCAATTCCTACCGGTGTGCACCACCACAGCCGGCTTCTGTATTTATATACCATTTTGTCGTTTCATTTTCTCTCTCAATCTCACAGATATTTTTAAACACACTGTAAACCTTTAGAGGTTTTTCTTTATTTAAGTCTGACTTTACTGTAAATCTTTATGTTTTTCTGGCCACGTGTCTTATCTGTAAAACCGTGGCTGTTTTAAACTGCCAGTTTTTTTTTTCTGTCAAGATGGCGGGCGTAAGCGTGACTCCAGCTTACCGCCTCACTCCATGCTGACATCCAGCAAAAGCTGCCACTTCCAGCTGTACGTACACACCTTTCAATCGTTAGCAGAGTCTCTTAAAACAACCTTGTTGTTTTTTTTTTTCCTTTTATGCTGAGTCAGGAAGACTCTGGTAAGCGAGCCACGTGAATCTCAGCTTGTTGATAGCAAAACAGAGCACACCTGAGAAAAATGCTGCTACCAAAATCTGTGCTTCTCTCCGTTCTTCTGTTTCTAAAATTCCTTTAAAGCTTTTGTCATTCTGCGTGGAAATTCATCATCCCACTCCTGATCACCATTTTGTTAAGAGAAGCTTTCCTTGAGAGAAGCCGTCCCGCCAGCCTGGTTCCAGAGCCATATCAGTCCCAAATAAACACACAGGAGGCTATATGAATTATGAAGCTGTTGGCCTTGCTTGTCTCTTACTGGCTAGCTCTGCTTTAAGTAATTACCCCATAATTGTTAATCTAAGTATGTCTCTTACCGGAGAATAGTTCTGGGCTCCTACCCCAATGGCGTTACATGTTGACTCTCAGTGTTTCTCCTTCCCAGAATCCTCCTGGACTCCTAGCCCCACCTATCTAGATTCCTATAGGCTCAACAGTACTTTATTGACAAATAACAGGCAAATAACAGGACTTCCCCAACAGGGGGGGGTTGTTTGCTTGTTTTGTTTTTGTTTTTGAGACAGGGTTTCTCTGTGTAGCCCTAGCTTTCCTGAAACTCACTCTATAGATCAGGCTGGCCTTGAACTCAGAGATTCGCCTGCCTCAGTCTCCCAAGTGCTGGCATTAAAGGTAAGCGCCACTACCACTTGACTTCTATATAACCTTCAAATAGGGAGAGGATTCTCTTATTTTTGTTTGTTGCTGCCTTTCTTTTTGTTATACCTGTTGATTTACCATTTTTTGTTATAGTCGTTTGATTTACCATTTGACATCTTGGTGTCTTCAAGTAATATCCTCCCATGGCTGTAATTGTGCACAGAATGCAAAATTGGTTTGTCTGTTTCTTTGTTTGATTTTTATGAGTACTGCATAGATATAACAAGTGTAGCAGCAAGCCAAACTGGTCTATGACATGTCCTGAGAAGAGAGTGATGGGTACTGTAATCTCTTTTCTGACTATGGATAAGAAGAACTAGTGTATAAATTATACAACAATGATTATAAGAAACACCTGAAAAATACAGTGACTACCCCAAACTTCATCTCTCATGATTCCTTGGACTCTTTAGGAGACTCAAGGCACACATCACAGGTTCCTGTGTGTCATTTAGGATGTGACACAGAATAATGACTGATGGTGGTCACAGCGTACCCTTGGCCCTCCTCCACCCCTGCTGCCCACTGGTTCTAGTTAATGGTGGTCTCATGAGGCAGTATATGTTGAACATGTTCCAATCTGATGAAATCCTCTCTAATGTTGTGTGTCGACCAACTGATTGATGTCTATATCCTTTCTGGAACCATGGGAGTGCAGCCAGGAACTCTTAAGCATCCACGTCTTTTGTGTGTCATTACTCAGCTGACCTCAGGGAGCAAAGATGAAAGACCTTCTAACTGCTCCTGGAGGCAGGAATGTGTGATAGTACTCAGGCATCTGGACTGCCTGTCCTTGGGGTCCTGATAGGATTCTTCCTCAGCTGCAGCCACCTGTGCACAGTCGCTATGTTCCCTTTTAAAAGGACCCTGCCCACCTCCTGTTTTTATTTTCTCTCTGCTTCTCTGCCTGTCCCTCTGTCTTTCCTTCTGTCTCCACACCCCATTTGCCTCTCTCTTCTCTTCTGCCGTTCCTGTCCCCAGAGGCTGGTCTCCCCTCTCCGCTCCCCCCTTTTCCCATTCACTTACTCCCAATTAAAAAAAACCTCCACCCAAACTCTGTTGCATGCCATCTTTCTCTCGAATGCTGCTTTTCTAAATTACAACAGTGTGTGCAAAGACATTGTGAGTAGTCTTGGGGAAGCAGGGAAAAGGGGAAATGAACATGCCCTCTGCTGATGTGAGCCCGCAGAGGGTCCGGATTAAATATGATATTTACCAAGTGTAGGCAGATTTTTCTTTTAGCTTCCCGATCACAAAAAAAAAGATAGACACTTAATATTAATTATGAAACCTTGGCCTAAAGCTTAGGCTTGTGTCACTAGCTCTTATAACTTAAATTAACCCATTTATATTAGCTGTGTTTCGCCTCATGGCTTTTTACCTCTCTTCCATCTTGCACCTCCCGTCTCCTCTCTGTGTCCTTTGGCGTCTTTCAACCCTCTTTCTCTGTCCGGAAGTCCCACCTAACCTCTTCCTGCCCAGCTATTGGCCAGTCAGCTCTTTATTAAACCAGTCAGAAGGCATCTTGGCAAAGACACACCTTCACAGTATGCAAAAAGATTATTCCACAGCACCCAAGCACACCAACGGGGGCCTTGAGTGGGGCCTGTGCAAGCCTTTCTTCCCACAGTGTGAGGCATCCCCCCCCAAAAAATGGCCCTGGAATAATTACCAGACCCGACTTACCAGACACACCTGACTGGTTCCCAAATAAGTGAACGGTGTGGCATGGAAAGCAAAGGAGAAAATATTCTCTATGTCTTCAGAGGTGGCTAACCTTTTGACATTGTTCCACAATCCTGTAGTCTACGACTTATTTGAGACAGCTAGTTTGAGACACCTACACGCCTCCCTCCTCCCCCTCACCCCACCCCACCTGCAGGTTAGACACACCTATTAGGTGTAGTCTGTGTGGGTTGAGGAGCCTTCAGTTGTGATGTGCTACCCATATATGTAACTCATCTTCATCGCTAAAATAAGCCATCAGCCCCAGGAAGGCCTCCCCTGTGTTACCTCCATTCATGGTGTTTTTCCGTTTCCTTCCTCAGAAGGGATTCACTCCTCTCCATGTGGCTGCGAAATATGGAAAGCTTGAAGTAGCAAATCTCCTGCTGCAGAAGAGTGCATCTCCAGATGCTGCTGGGAAGGTAAGACGTCATCAGCCGCCCTGTAGCAGGCCACTTCCACAATAACAAGCCAGCCCTTGCTAATAACCCCGCCCCCCACTCCCAGCCACTTTGGTGGTAGTTAAGCCATACTGAAGTCTTTCTCACCAGAGTGAAGATTACTTGGGATCAGGTGAGAAAGCCGGGTCCACGTGCAACAATGGAACCTGAATGTGAAGGCTACTGTCTGTTGTACACAGTCTAACCCCATTTCCTAAATCCAGGAATGTCCTACTAAGACACCTTTGACCCTGGTTGTTGTCTCTGCACGTGTGTTTTCAGAGCGGGCTAACTCCACTGCATGTAGCAGCACACTACGATAATCAGAAAGTGGCCCTTCTACTTTTGGACCAGGGAGCCTCACCTCACGCAGCTGCAAAGGTACTTGTAACTCACTGCCTAAGAACCGAGTGTGCACCATCCATCCATCTCTAAACAAGGGTCCCCTCTTGCTAATTCTGTCATGTCCTCATTGTGTAGACCTGGCTTGTAAATACTGCAGCCAGAATGGCCAAGAAGATGTATGCCTGGCCCTATGTCGTCACCTCACATAGTAGATGCTCAATAAATACATACTTGTCAGTTGATTCCCTTGGGCTATCCGGGACACCCTGGAACATTGGGAGGGCAGGGAGCTGGAATACTCCTCGGCCAGCTTGAAAACTTAAGCAGAGCCTAAGGGAGTAAGAAACTCTGACTTGTGAGAACAAGGAGATGTCTCAGTTTGGTAAAGTGCTTGCTACATGAACTTTAGGTTCAGATCCCCAGCACCCACGTAAAGAGCCGGGCAAGGAGACACACCTGTAGTCCCAGAGCTGTGGAGACAGACCAAAGGATCGGCGGGGATTGCTGGCAGAGCAGCTAGTGCAGTCGCCAAGCTGCAGAGTCAGTGAGAGACCCTGTCTCAAAAGAACAAAGTGGAAAAGCAACTGAGGAAGATACCCCACATCAGTCTCTGCCCCGCATACTCAGGCGCACACGTGCACATGCACACAAAAGCTCTGATTTATCGAAATTTATAAAAGACACACATTGCATTTTCCTGTCCAGGAAAACACTGCGTGGAGGTGTTTTGTGTTTCACAGAACAGCCTAAAGAACTTTATATGTGGGTTTTTGTTCCTATTGAGGGGACTGTTAGTTGTCTTGCTAGGGAATTTTTGACCCGTAGACATCTTAGACTCCTGAGAAGAAAACAGAGTGTAGTGTATTCGGCTCTCTTGTTGCCCCGGTATTCTGACCTGGCATGCTGCAATGCAGTCTCCTGAAAGATGCCCTCATAGACTGCTGCTGGCCCAGCACCTGTTTGGGTGCTGAGTGGATGACTGCACTGTGACACAGCACTGAACCAGTGCAAACCAGATTTTGAAAAAAAAAAGATTATTTTAATGTGTTTAATTGGTTGAAGGACCCTTTGGCATCCCTAATACGTTTGAGCTATGCCTTCAGTGCTCTTCATTGTTAGGTCATGCCTGTCACAGGTCACTGGACCCGGCCTGTTCTGTGTAGCAGTATTTGTAAGAGGGAATGTTCTGGTGCTTCCTCCATTAGAGAAGGGTGTAGCTATTGTGATGGTGGGGTTTTGTTATTGTTGCTGATTGTTTGCGCATTCGCGAATGGGGGGGCAGAGGAAAACTTGCCTGAGTTGCTTCTCCTTTCCTACCATGAAGGTTCCAGGATCGTAGGATTGGTACCCAATGCCTTTACCTGACATTCCTCTCCTCACCCAAGGGTGCTATTCGTCCTCAGAACCTCCTTTCTGCATTAAGCCATTTGTTCTACTCAGTGAAATACGCTCAAAAATCAAATTCTAAATTCTTTAGCCCAGACTGTCAACTTTAGCATTGGCCCTGTGCTGAAGGAAGCTTTCCCAGTCCTGCCTTTAAAAACCAAACAAGAGCCCTGTTTACTGCTTTGCTTGGCAGTGTGAACCTGGGACAGTGGAACCTGAAATGAGGAAGGCTGAGGCTGCATGCATGAACCAAAGCTATGCAGAGCAGCCTTGAGAGCTAAGAGCCACCTGAGCAGTGTCCAATAACAAAGATAAGCCTCACAAGGTGGACAAGCCTCATATCGCAAAAACGCATCTTCCCCTAGAGGCATACAAAGATAACCATGGTCTCTAGCCCTCTGAAACTGTAGGCAAGGCCCTAATTAAATGCTCTTTTTTATAATCTGCCTTGGCACTGGTGACTCTTCACAGCAATAGAAAAGTAACTAAGACAATGCCCCTTGTGCTTGTAGGACTGTGTTTCTAAGTAGCCCCAGGTTGTTGGTAGGCAATGAGTTCACAGTGTATACATAATCTAGCTGTTCTCACACGGGGGTAAGAGTGCTGGCACATTAGCGCCAATCAGGCTAGTAACAGCAGTAATTATGGAATGGTATGTGTGAAGAAATGAGTCCGGTCTGTCTTTATGTTCATAAATAAACAGGTCAGAGATGCAGGGTGTGCCTCAGGGGCAGAGTTCTTGCCTAGCATGCACATAGCCCTGGGTTCAGCATCAAGTCCCGCATAAGCCAAGTGCAGTGGCATACACCTGTAATCCCAATACCTTGGAGATGGAGGTAGGAAGATGAGGCATTCAAGGTTTCTCTCCCCTTGGGTGCATAGTGGAATAGAAGGCTGGCCCAGAATACCTAAGACCCTATTTCAGTAAAATAAAATAGACAGTATCCAGTCCTGCATCTCTCAAACAAAATAGGAGGAAGCTTTCAAACTTAGGAAGTATCATGGAGCAGGAGTTAAAAAGCAGGCCCAGTAAGTAATAACTATGGATGACCCACTAGCCTGAGGTCATAGACCATTAAGCACCAACTTTTCTAATGGGACGTTGATCCTCAGTATCATGGCACATTGCCTAGGCCAGTGCTTGTGTCTTGGCATCCCTGTAACACCATCTATGGAACAGTGGTGCTAGCTGGGGAGTCTGTACACTTTGATCCTGAACAGACCATTTATCTCAGTTGCAGGCGGCTTTATCTGTTAGGGGAACAATTCTCCATACAGTGGTTTGAAGAGCTCTATCTCCCGCCCACAGGCAGCAAACACAGAGCGTGGCTTGTGCCGCTTTAAAGTAGCAAGCCCACAGACAGCAGAACTATCTCAGAAGCTCCACCCAGCTCTGTTTTTGCTACCTCAACGACTACTTTAAAGTGCAAGAGATGCTGGGAAATGTAGTTTTCGACTGGGCACAGTTTTTTTCACTGAAAAGAATGCATATAGCCTATGCTGCTTTTACTCCTGGAAGTTCAGGTCCTGAATCCCAGCAGACAGAGCTTCAAGGACGCCATTAGTGCCCCAGCTGCGCCCTCTATGCATACCCTCCTTCTTTCCCTCGTCTCAAAATCCTCAGCACCTTACACATGTCCTAGAATAATGACGTACAACTTTATATGACTGGGTTGCTGAAAAATACATATACTAAGGGATGATGGAATACTAAGATCCATTTTTTTAACCAGGTTTGTTCCTAGAGACAGGATGCTATGTTAGAAAGGAGCTTAGCTTGATTGCTGGCAAAATCAAGAGGCTAATTAGAAAGCAACAGTGAGTCTGGACTAACTGGTCATGCTTCAAATTGTGCAGTATCCTCCTTAAAAATACGCACACGCCGGGCGGTGGTGGCGCACGCCTTTAATCCTAGCACTCAGGAGGCAGAGGCAGTCGATCTCTGTAAGTTCGAGGCTGGGCAGCCTCCAAAACAATACAGAGAAACCCTGTCTCGTACAAACCAAACACACACACACACACACACACACACACACGTGCATGCGTGTGTGTGTGTGTGTGTGTGTGTGTGCGTATGAATTGACTTGGGGGAGCAATGTCAATTGGGATGTAAACTATTTGATAACTATTTTTTAGTGTCATATGCATAGGTTCACATGACCAATATTTTGTTTTCAACAAGAATACAGGGAAGGAGAGATAGAGATGGTTTAGAAGTCAGAGACACTTTGTTCTCTTGCAAGAGGACCTGGGCTCAATTCTCAGTACCCACACGGCAGCTAACAGCCATCTAAAACTGGTTTCAGCTACCCATCAATCAATGCCCTCTTCTGGCCTCTGAGGGTACAAGGCATGCACATGGTACACATACATAACATAATAAAAATAAAGTGTGAGAAAAGAAAGACGTAAGATAATTCTATGGTTGGGCTGGAGAGATGCCTCAGTGGTTAAAAGCATGCTGTTCTTACAAAGTCCAGATTTGGGGTTCTATAACCTACACCAGGAAGTTCACAACCCCTTCTAACTGCAGCCCCAGCGAATCCAAGGGTGTCCTCTGGCCTTCGTGGGCCTCTTCACTCACACATATGCATAATTAAGAGCGTTTTTAAAAAAAAATCTTTGAAAAGATCATTCTATAATTGTCTCTCACTGGTTGCTTTATCAAATTAATACATGTTCCCTGAGTATAGGAATCGAGTATTGTTTAGCTTTCCTGAAAATAGAGCTTAGGAAAACCAGAATTGTACTATGGGTCCCTGGACAAATTCTTTGCCACTTATTCAGAGTTTCTGAGATCTTGGTTTTCTTACCTGAGACTGTCATTTGTACCTCAGAAGGAGCCAGGATGTGTCTCAAAGCAGTAGTTCTCAATCTGTGTATGTGGGGGGGGGGGGAGGGGATGACCTTTTCACAGGGGTCGCCTAAGACCATCTGAAAACACAGATATTTATGTTACAATTCATAAGAATAGCAAAATTACAGCTATGAAGTAGTGACAAAACTAATTGTATGAATTGCTAGAGCTCTTTAGATAATTGTTTCTTAGGGCCTAGATTTTTGTGAGTTATGTTAGAAGATAGCAAGATTGTTATGTCTGAAAGGATAGCAAATTGCCCTGCACTGGTTAGGACTGAAAAGTGACTAACTCATGGTTAGGTCTCACCATGTCCCAGGCAGGCCTCAGCTTTGCTGGAATTACAGGCATGCAGCATCACACCCATCTCAGCTGAATGGTCTGACCCTGGTCAAAGGAAAAGTGCAGCTGATAGCTGATAAGGACGTCTCCATGCCTTTACCGCTCGCACTCTTAGTGATAGGCATATTGACTAGTTCTGCTTCTTCTGCTACTGCTGCTCTGTGAATTTTCTCTTTTGTGGAGGGATGGAAGGTAGCTAGCTGTCTCCTGCCCTCATGTCTTACACTGTAGCCTTGGACACAGGCCAGTGCTCTGCTGGGCTGCGGAGGCATTGGTCCCTGACGGGCGTGTCTGAGCATTTGGTCAGAGGGCCAAATGCCTCTCAGGGTAGCTGGTGTTTCCACATGGCATAGGTCAAGACTAAAAATAGGAATATAAAACCTCCTCCTGCCGTGGCTCAGCCGGTCTGAGGATTCTAGAGGTGACATTTCCACTCTGCACTTCCTCTCGCCACGACCAAGTTCATGTCCATACCATAGTGCAATCTTGCATTTCTCATGAATGGCCAAGTCCCAAAAGCACTTTTTCAGGTCAGACACTCGAGGCTCCTGAGGCCCAACTGATCAACAGGGAATTTTGTCTGCACAGCTGAGCATCAGAGGCCAACTGAGGGAAGGACGGCAAAGTTTTCTGACAGGGTTAGTGTGTCTGGTTGTGAATGTGGAGGCTTCTTCCTTCATGTAATCTACATGTCCCTATTACTTCGAAACATGTGCCATGAGGGTACCACAGCCCGTGCCCCTAATAGCTGCAGACTACAATAAGAAGTAATAAGTATACAAATAAGAGCACACCACTGAATTATCCAGTACTGAGGTTAAAGAAAAGTGGTTGGCGGGTGTTGGAAGCTGATTGGCGAAAAGAGGCAGCCCGCTTCATCGAGGGTGTGGTCCTGGGTTGAATTTTCAACTGCTACTTGCCATCTTCATAGGCAGGCTGTGGGAAACCTGAAACAGTAACCTCTCTGGACACCCGTAGGGTGATGGGTCTGGCTATCACCGCGTACAGACAGACAGATAGATCACCAGGAATCAATGAGAAAAAGCAACTCCCGCAAAAATTAAAGATTGCAACTTTACGGGCAGCACCAGGGTGTCTTTGTTCTTTGGGGACTGCTCCTGCATCACACTGAGATGGAGCAGAGGATTTTTCCATTCTGGAAGCTAGGAAGGCCAAGACTGAGGAGTTCACATCCCGAAAGAGGGTTGTCTCTGTGTCACCCCATAGCAGACAATGGAAGGACAAAGAGAGAGAGTGTTGGGGAGCTTAACTCTTCTCAGGAGCTTATACTCTCTACGGCCCACCCCCTCCATAGCCCACCCCCTCCATAGCTCACTCTTTTCACAACCCACTCGCACCATAGCCCCCTCTCTCCACCTCAGCTTCAAGGCCATTCTTGAAAGGCAAGTCCTCCTGCATCCTCATCACATGTTCCGGGTTCCACCTCCCATTGCATTGGGTGCAGAGTCTCCCACACACGAAGACAAGGGACCCCTTTCAAACCATAAGAGACACTAAACTGATTTGAAGAATGAAATTTTGAATGACTCTGAGCATGGTCCCAGGATAGCGTATGGCTTATTCCTCTAACCCCAGTTGAAATACAGCAATATTTATTGAGCACCTACTATCATAGATTTCCTTTTCAAAAACCAATAGTGTAACCAACTCTTATTTTCTCCCACTCAAAACTGCACCAATGATGCTACCTAATTTAGCACCATTTCTTTACTTCATCATAGTTTCTCATACAGTTAGAGCAATCGGTTAGAAAGGGAAGCATACTGTTTGAAAATGCACTGTATACATTTTTTTCTTGGTACTAGACATGACCAAGTGATTTGTTTTGACAGAATGGTTATACGCCACTGCATATTGCTGCCAAGAAGAACCAGATGGACATAGCGACTTCTCTGCTGGAGTATGGTGCTGATGCAAATGCGGTTACCCGGCAAGGGATTGCTTCTGTCCATCTTGCGGCTCAGGAAGGGCACGTGGACATGGTTTCACTGCTCCTCAGTAGAAATGCCAATGTGAACCTGAGCAATAAGGTAACTTTCTTCTTGTTGTTGTGCAAAACATACAATACAATAGAGATTAAATCCCCAGAAAAGTCTAAATATTGATCAAAACTTTGGAGCCGATAGAATATGCAAGGCTGGCAAGACGGCTCAGCAGGCTAAGGTATTTGTTGCCAAGCCTGATGACCTAAGTTCTATCCCTGAATCCACATGGTAGAAGGAGAGAACCAACTCACCCAAGTTCATTAATAGAGCAAGAACATTACCGTCATGTAACACTATATACTATATAATAACTATCATTGACTTTTTCTTGACATTAGCACCACTAATGTTTTTAGAGTCTTTGATGTTTAGTGGTGAGTGCCCACATATGTTGGGGGAAGGCAGTATGCTTGCTTATCTTTGCTTTAAAAATATCACTACAAAGAAGTGAATGAGAAGGAACGGGGACCCAGGTGGATCAAATGTCACAGTCCTGAGCCATATCAGGTGGTGAGCATCCTCCGCCACTCTGGGGAACTCTGCAATTTTTTTTTGTGAAGCCTGTGGTCAGTACTGCTGACATAGGGTCCACACAGAGTGGCACACGCCCTTACTCTGTAGGATTTTTTTTTAAGACTCAATGCTAACTCTCCTAGAATTCACACACCAGATCTCAAACCAGCCACATGCATGCTCCCACCCCTCTCTATGACTGACAACCACACCCTTGGAATCTCTTGCAGAACGGCCTCACCCCACTCCATCTGGCTGCTCAAGAAGACAGAGTAAATGTGGCTGAAGTCCTTGTCAACCAAGGGGCCCACGTAGATGCCCAGACAAAGGTATGCCACCTCTCCCATGCAGCAAGGAAGGAGCCCTACCAAGTGCCCCTGGAGTGACAGCCCTCAGTAGGAAATCTGCAGCCATGGCATAGTCAGGAAACTGCCTTGATCCTGTCAGCCACAGACAGCACTTTCATTCAAGGGCCAGTCTCTGGCAATGGCATTTCAGGCAGTGTCATCTTTATTGGCCCAAGTTCTCCTTTCGCTGTGTGTCAATATTCTATATTATTACCAGGAATCTTGTCACAGATCTGCTTTGGGGGCAGTGTGTAGGTTTCGCGAGTGACTGAAAAAAGAAAGAAAGAGAAAGAACAAGCAGGAAAAGTTGGTGGCAACTGAGGCCTATTCTGTCTGCATAATGAAAGAGTGATGAAGGAATATTAAGTTGCTCGCATCACAGGTCCCTTGGTGTCTGTACAGCTGACCTATGATTTCTCATATTTTTATTTTCCTCCCTTTCCCTCTGGCAAAACACTGCTTTCAGAAAACAAAGGAAATGCTGACTAATGTCATATAATGCCACAGTTCAAGCACAGATAAAAAACAAAAGGGTATTCTGTGACTATAAAAGATATGATTTCATGTGTATTTCTTTTCTCTGAACATTTGAGACAGGGTCTCTCTATGTAGCTCTGACTGCCTGAAACTTGCCGTGTAGACCAGGCTGGCCTCAAACTCAGAGATCCACCTGCCTCTCCTTCCCCAATGCTGGGGTTAAAGGTGTGCTCTAATACCCCATTCTTCCCTAACACATGTCAGTTTATTACAGGGAAGGGATGATGAGCTGGATGGTGATTCATCCCTGTAATCTTGGTACTTGGTAAGCTGAGGCAGGCAGATTGCTACAGCTTCAAGGGCAACCTCCTGAGTTTTCGGCATGTGAAACCCCATTTCAAAGACATGAATGCCTGTTAAATGTCATGTTCTACATAGAAATATTCCTGTACATATTTGGATTAGTTCTGAATACAATCAGGGAGAGATTTGAGACAAGAGCAGATCACTGACTTGTACTCAGGGTTGGCAAATACACAAAATGCACGCACGCACACACACACACATGCACATACGCACATGCACACTTATGCTTGTGAACACACAATAATAAGTAATTTTTTAATTTAAGAGGCTATTTATAAAACTTTTTTCAGTATTCTGTGGATTTTTATAATTCATATTACCTAACATTCTCCTACTTATCCCTTTACTTATTTTGGAGTGCTGGGAGTCAATCCCAGTGCCTTATACATGCTAGGCAAGCACAGAACTAGCCCCTGAGTAATAGTAAACACTATCAAGATGCTAGTTGTGGCATTATTAAAAGACTGCTCGACACCTATTAAATTAGCAAGCAGTCTTTACAAGCAAACAGGCTGGAGCTGTATAGGTAGCCATAGCAGAGGCTGGAGCTGTAGGTGGAGGTGTCCTCAAGGAAGGCTGCTCAGTGCAGTGAGAGCCCAGGGCTGACACCTGGAGAGCAATTGATCTTAAAACGTGGATGAGAAAGCAAGGGTTTCGTTCTATGAGCGAGTCATGCTGCATAGAAGGCACGTGGTGACAGTAAATGAAATCTCGGGTGAAGTACCACAGAAATGCCAGCCTGAGCCTGTCACCTCTTCCCCATTTGTGTATTTGGGAGGTGTGTTCATACATGGTGTATGCCTACATGTGGGTTTGCATGCATATGACTACATGTGCGGAGGCCAGAGGAGGATGTCCGGAATCTTCTCTGTCTGCTCCCCGCCTTATTTTTTTTCGAGAAGGGGTCTCACCTGAACCTGAACCTGCCATTTCAGCTAGACTAGCTGGCCAGCAAGCTCCACCTTTCCCTGCACCGCCCTCAACACTAGGATTACAAACACAGGAGCCCATGCCTGGCTTCCTGTGCCACATCTTCTTATACAAATACATCTGTCCGGTTTAGCAAGCATGACAGTCGGCCCTCTCTTGTTTCTTATTTTCCTTCGTCAGTCCCTTATTTAGCAAAGACTTACAATATTTACTGAGCACCTGTGATGTGCAGGAGATGCTGATAGCGAACATTGTGTACCAAGCACTTTCTAACCGCTAGCCGGAGAGGATTTCCCAAGTTGTGTGTCTCTAGGCATGTCTTTGCACAGTGCCTTTTTCTCTGAGAATCCTGGGAATGAACGATCCCATCTCTGAGAGCACAAGGTGACTCTTCTTAGCTGTGCACACATTTTAAAAATTATCTATTATTGTCATGCTTGCGATGTATGTGCGAGTGCAGGATATCAGCTATAGCACACGCGTGGACATCAGAAGGCTTTTGGAAGTCAGGTCTATCCTTCAATCATGGGTTCCAGAGATGGAACTTGAACTCAGGCCATCAGGCTTGGCAGAAAACATTCAAACCTGGTGAGCTATCTCTCTGTCCCCCATGCACACGTATTTTTTAACAAAGGCTTTGTGACAGCAAGAAGGCTAGTGTCTCGGACAGAATAGTAGAGATGACCTTAGTTCATAGACAGGAGGGGGCACAGGGAAAGACCACAGTCACATAGGCCTATCAGTCCATTGTAACAACTTAGCATCTTACCGAGAGCAGGTAGAAAAACTATAAATTTAAATGGCATGTTTGAATATTCAAAGTGACTCACTCTTTAAACCTACAACATTTGGCACAAGAGCTGCTGGAGAATGGTGTGTTATTGTGCAAGTTAAAAAACCTGGAGAAGGAGCCAGATGGTGGTGGCAGCGGCACATGTCTTTAGCCCCAGCACTCGGGAGGCAGAAGCAATCGGATCTCTGAGTCTACAGAGCTAGTTCTAAGACAGTCAGCACTATACAAACCTGTCTTGAAGCAGGGATGGTCACGGACAAAGCAAGCAAAACAAACCCATGAAGAATATTTTAATATTAACACTACCCCTTTTCCACTGAGCTTAGAAAAAAGGGTTGTTTTTTTAAAGATTTATTTATTTAGTGTGTATACAGTGTTCTGCCTTCATGAGTTCGTGACTTTCCTAGTGCTGCGACCCTTTAATACAGTTCCTCATGTTTCTGTGACCACCCCCGCCCCCATAACATTCTTGCTACTTCATCAATTTTGCTACCGTTGTGGATGGTAATGCAAAGAGCTGTGTTTTCTGATGGTCTTAGGTGACCCCCGTGAAAAGGTTGTTTGATCCCCTCTGAAGGAGTTGTGACCCACAGGTTGAGAACCTCTGAACTAGAGCAACTATACCAAGATCAAGTTCATCCTTAGACAATAAGAACTCATGTTTTGACTCTTTCTATGCCTCTGCCTATCCACAGAGGCTTTTTGTTTTTACTCCTACAAGTTCTCACTATTCAAACCTGGCTGTCCTGGAGTCCTGGGATTAAAGGGATGTGCCTCTCCACCACTCCTGCCCTGCCCCCTCCCAAGCTTGTCACTTAGCCATTTTGTTAGAGAATAGAGCATTCGGTTAACACTAACCTAGTCTGTCCATATAACACTCTCTGATGGCAGCAACCAGTTACTGAGTCCACCTGTCTACGGGGCTGATCATTCCGTCTTTCCTTCCTGTCCTGAACAGGATCTAGAGAGTAAAGAGCTGACGTAAGGAAAAGACAATTACTTATTTTTATGTTCAATCAGATATATTAAGACTAACTCTGAAAAGGGCATTTTTTTGTTATGGGGAAGAATCTTTAAAAAAAAAGTATTTTCCAGCTCAAAAGGAAGGTTGAATAATACTTTTACTTCCATTTAGAAATGCTGTTACTAAAAGTGTATTTACAATGTTTCTTTTTTTTATAAAATGTAATTACAGATGGGCTACACGCCACTCCATGTGGGCTGTCACTATGGAAACATCAAAATAGTCAATTTTCTGCTGCAGCACTCTGCAAAAGTTAACGCCAAAACAAAGGTGGGTGCCTTCCCCTTTCTTTCCAGCACAATCCTTGGTTTTGCATTCAAGGAGGTGGCACGTCATTTCTGCATTCTTCCTTCTGCAGAATGGATATACACCACTGCACCAGGCAGCTCAGCAGGGCCACACGCACATCATCAACGTCTTGCTGCAGAACAACGCTTCCCCCAATGAACTCACTGTGGTAAGCTGTGGACCCGCACGACGGGACTGGAGAGACAGGGGGACTCAGACGTCTTCTCGTGTTTTTATCACACACCAGTTGCTTTTCTCAATCTCCTATAAAGCCCTCAAGTGGGGACCATATCGTGAGCTGTTCAAACAGGAGTAGTAAGCCAGTGTTTCACACTCTAAAAATACTCATGTCATCCCCACTTAGAGAAGCACATAATGAGAGAAAAGTGCTATTTACGTCCCAATTGACTGTTGACACGGAACCACATGTAACTGCCTGGACCTTGAGGCATAGGCTAAGAACAGGTGAGCTAGGCTGTTATAAAGTATGTTGATTAGTTATCTCTCTGTCACTGTGACAAAACACCTAATAGAAGGAAAGTCTTTCTTTGGCTGGCAGTTGCACAGGTGTCAAGCCATGATCACTTGTCCCCATCGTGTTGAGTCTTCAGTGAAACTGGACATTATGGCAGGGGGTGCTTATTGAAGCTCATATCATGGCCACCAGGAAGCAAAGAGAAAAAGGAGTCTAGGGTCCCAATACACCCTTTGAGGACATACCCCCTAATGGCATAACTTCCCTCCATTAGTCCCAACATGCCAGCAGCACCAACATTTTCAAATACATTTAGGATTCCAACTATAAAGTTATGTCTCTGATATGGTGTGGTGAGACACAGGTGTTGCAGTGACTGTAGACAGAGTTTCTCTGTGTCCTGGCAGTCGCTCCCAAATAACCACTCAGAAACGTGTTAATTGTAAATGCTCACTTGATAGCTCAGGTTTGTTCCTAGCTAACTCTTACATTTTAAATTAACCCATACTTCTTATCTATCCTCTGCTGCATAGCGGTACCTTCTTGCAACACAACATGCTCATCTTGCTTCTTTCTGTCTCTCTCATGACTCCTCAGACTCTGCCCTTCTTCCCAGTGTCCTGGCTCTCCCACCTAACCTTATCCTGCCCAGCTATTGGCCTGTCAGCGTCTGTATCAAACCAATCACGGGCGAGGTACATTCACACAGTGTAAAGGAATGTTCCACAGCAGGCTGAGTAACCGTGTCTACATTTTCCTGCTTCCAGAATGGGAACACAGCCCTGGCCATCGCCCGGCGTCTTGGCTACATCTCCGTGGTTGACACACTGAAGGTCGTGACAGAGGAAACTATGACCACCACTGTGAGTAACGAATGTAGAACTTTCTTACTTGGAAAGCCAAGTTCCCAGATGGCAGTTTCTCTAGGCTTTTCTAGAATGTTCCTTCTTTCTCCTTTCATAGACTAAGTACCACATTTTAAAATATTATCACCTTATTGGTGGTGGCCAGTGTAGCAAAACCCTCATTTCTGATATGAACAAAATTTGAAACAGTAAAAATATGTATCTTTTAAAGATGCACATGGAGCTGAAAGAGATAGCTCAGAGTAGAGGACCTGCCCAGCACTGTGCCTCAGGCGGTGTTTCGGCTGTCAGTAGCACCCACTCCAGGGGATCCAGTGCCCCCTTCTGGCCTCACAGGTTACTGTATCCACACTTGCTCAGACACATAGACGGAGATACAGACACATAAATAACTAATGAAACATACCTGGAGAAAATAGTTATGTAAGCAGATAGAGATTTTTTATGTCATGTTCTATCAAATAAGTTTGTTTTTTAAAATCATGGCGTTGTAAAGACTTTGAAAATTTAATGTAAGCTCTTTAAAATGTCATTTTTGCAAAGATAATGCCTTCTTAAAGTTATGGGTAGATAGGAATTGGTTTTAATTGTCATTATTATTTTTTTGAATACCTGTTGGGGTTTTCATAAGGAAACCAATATTTTTCTTAAATTTTAAAGTAAACATTTACCAGATGGCCCTATTGCACTAGACACATGTAATTATTACCTTTCACTGTGTATGTTGAGGGTACACACATGCCATGATATATGTGTAGAAGTCAGAGGATAACTTGTAAGAATCTGTTCTCTCTTCCTACTATGTAGGTTCTGGGGATGAAACTAGGATCATCCCTCAGGCTTGGCAGCCAGTGTCTTTCCACACTGACACACTGAGCTATCTTCACCAGCCCTTGACAAAAAAAAAAAAAAAGGAACAAAAAACCAAAACAAAAACACTTCAGAAACCATTGTAACCCTGTCTAATGCCTTCAAACTAGACTTGGCAACTTAGGGATTAAGAACAGTTAGGAGAGTGGGATTTGGGGCGATTGCCATCATTTCCCATTTCTCACCTTCCAGTCTGAAGGAAGACAAGGCTACAATGCACAACTTACTTCGTATGTGCAGAGCTTTACATAGAAAGCCGTGGGCTAAGGCTGTCTGCAGCTACCTGCCGGCCGAGTTATTTGGCAGTTTGCAGGTTTTCAAAACTACAAATAAACCTGCTGAGTAGAAGAGAGAAATTGTAAGGTTTACAAGACAGAAAATACCCACTAACCAGGTTCTATTTCTGTCATTACCATAGAGTTTAGGGTGAAAAATGGATTCATCAGTTCACACAGCCTTCAAAATCTAAAATCGGTTACTGAGTTCTTTTGGATATTTTTGCTGGTGTGCGTTTTGTTTTGTTTTGAGACAGAGTCATGTCACAGAGATTAGCCTGCTTCTGCTTCTGACCCCAGAGTACAGGCATGCACTACCAGACCTGTCTGCTATTAAATTCTTAGAGGAAGGATAAGCAAATAACATTCTCCAGCCTTGACATTATGGATTTCCCATATAGCTCTCTCTAGAGGAGGAAGGAGTAGGAGAAAAACAAGCTGTTTAACAGTAGCCAAGTGTCACGATGCTACAGATGTTCGAGTCATCATAGTTAATACATCAGATTGCTTTTTCAGTATTAGAGGACAATCCTTGTCTGGTAGTTAAAAATACAAATCATAATTGAATTCTTCATCTGTTGGGCAATTTCACAATGTTTATGTGAAATAAAAATAAAAGCTTTGGGCTAGAGGAATGGCTTAGCAGTTGGTGAACTCCTAGGGGACTCATGTTCAGTTTCCAGAACTCACACTGGTGGCTCACAATAGCTGGTGACTCTGGTTTAGGGGATTCAGTGCCCTCTTCCGGCCTCCGCAGCCACCTGTGAGTGGGCATGCGTGTGCGTGAGTGCACGCACTTGCTCGCACACACCCCCCTACACACACACAGAGATGAAACACTAAAAAGCATTAAGCTACACTAGAGGAGGCCTGATTTAATTAGTAAAGCATGGACAAGGCTTTGAGTTGGATTCTCAATATGCCACAGCAACTACCAGTCTAGAGCTACAGAAATGAGAACCCAATACTGCCATCTTCCAGAAAGAACCAGGCTCCCACCAGAGTCCATGGCAGTGGGGCCGCTTCACATGTATGTCATCACTAAGCTTGGGTGGTGACTTTCTTCAAGGGGGCAGGAAAATACATGCTAAGAGCAAGGTCCAGACTGCCCCAGGAAGGGAACATGGCCTCCCCAAATGCCATAAATGCTCATGGTGGCCAGCAAGAAAGACAGGCCTGAGGAATTGTTCCAACCTTCTGGAACTTTTGTCACAAACTCAGAAACAACCTACTCAGCCCTGCTCTAGTGCTTTTGTATAAATTCCTTAGATGGGAGTGATGTGATTTGGGGTTGGTATCTATAATCTTAAAATAATGAGCACAGCTGAGCCCTTACCACACTCATCATCTTGCCCTAGCAAGTTACTGGGACCACAGCAGACATTGTTTCTATTGGCAGGCTCTTCTGCATGGAGACAGGGTGTGAGGTAGTAAATAAATGCCTTCATTGTCACAGTAGCATGAGGATCCAAATGCCAAGCGTCTGAAGGGATGTTCTCCCTTTGATGGCATTAAAGTTGTATTTCATTCTATCACATTTCTTGAAATACTGTTTTTCCAGAAGCCACAATCAGAGAATATCTAGCAGCCAGCTGTCCGTTACCAACACCATTCTCTGTGTAAAGAAACCAGGACTCCCGGGAGAAATAGCTACCTGTAGGACTAGAGAAGGATTGCCTCAAAGCAAGTGTGATTAGTTTGCTTTCCGTTGCTGTGATAAAACGCTTACCAGAAGCAGCTTTGGGAGCAGGACCAGCTATCTAAGCTTAGGTTATTCCTATGGACAGGCTACAGTCCATCACTGAGCAAAGCCAGGACAGGGAGTTACAGTAGGAACCTGGAGGTAGGAATTGAAACCCAGGTGATGGAGGAATGCTGCCTACTGGCTCACTCCCCTGGCTTGCTCAGGTACCATCTTTGTACAACCCAGGACCATCTACCAGGAGTGGCACCATCAACAGTGAGCTGGGCCCTCGACATCAATCATCGATCAAGAGTTTCCTACACACATACCTACTTACACACCAAGCCAATAGAGCTAATTCTCCAGTTGAGGGTACACTGTCATCACTACCAAAGTTGAATAAAATATGTGAATAAAATTATGGGTGGTGTCATGCACAAATCAATAGGAAGAGTTCGTGGTGACCAAGGTGGGGACACTTTAACCAAAGCAACAAAGAAAATATTAGAGCATAGTTCAAAGCATGAGGCAAATATATCTGAGCCCATATTGGTGTAAACGAATGACGGAATGTGTGGGAGAGAATGTGCAGGTACCTGAGGGAAAAGAATTACAAAAAGTCCAGGGCGTTCCATTCATTGTCAGAATACTAGCCTCAAGGCCTTATTCAATCCTGAGAAATGTGGCTGAGAAATAACCCCCTGGTAAAGGATTCCAAATGACTTAGGAAAATCCTTCATCCTCAAGGAAGCACCAAACATAGTTACCTACTGCCCAAAGATGGGCTGAACATAGTGATCTCGGTCCACAACACAGACAGGAACAGTCTGCAAGCAAAGGAGAACACAGTAAGTTTACAGAGAACTCTGACAGTACTGCCTCAGCCTGAAAACTATGATGAGGGACTTTACAATATTAGAGACTATAAAACTAACTGGAAGTTTATTCTAAAGAAGTGACCAATTTCAGTATTATTTACTGAGAGAGGCACAAAATGTTTTTATTTACACATAACAATTGAGCATAGGAGGATAATGTACCAGAAAATATCATTAAGAAACTGAATTGAAGCCAGCAGTGGTGGTGGCAGCAGCAGCAGCAGCAGCGGCGGCGCACACCTTTAATCCCAGCACTCAGGAGGCAGAAGCAGACAGATCTCTGTGAGTTTGAGGCCAGCGTGTACCACCACAGCCCAGTTTAAGATTTATTTATATTTATCTTTTGTGTATAGGTGCTTTGCCTGAATATGTGTGTGTGTGTGTGTGTGTGTGTGTATCACATGCATTCAGAAGGCTAAAGAGGGCTTCTGATCCCCTAGGAACGGAGATACAGATTGTCACAATCTGCCACCCAGCTCCTCTGCCAGAGCAGCACGTTTCCTTAACCACTGAGCATCCCTCCAGCCCCTGCTTTCAGTGTTTTGACTTACATGATACTGCTTCTGTCTTTTTAATGGATGTAGATTATAAAGTTAGGAAGCATGAGTCAGGAAGGCGCTCACTCTGCCACTTAGTGCTCTTTGATGGCAGTTTTTTTTTTTTTTGGAAGCTAAGATGATCCTCCTGCAAATTGATGCGCGTAGTTGAAAAATATGCATAACCTATATAATGTTAATATTTTGCTGTATCCTGTCCATGAGATGGACACGTAGTGGGGAATACAATGGAAGCAAGAGGCTTGGCACGAGCAATAATGACAAATTCCTTGCTGCTATTTTGGGCTATCTTCTTCCTCGACCCTGAGTGGGATGTGATATTTGGTTCTTCTGGCGTGGACAAGCACAGCGATGCTTTTGTCACTGAAAAAGCCTTATTGGTGACCACAACCTCTCATCTGCTACATTTCGTCCCTGGAAGACTTCCACCTCATACTCCTTTGAGGAGTTCTTCTGAGGACCCCCCACACACACACACACCCGTGCTGCTCAAGGGAGAGAGCATGTGTGTAAAGCCTCCTGGGTTCTCTACCCTGAAGTCTCACCGGCTATAAATCAAGTCAGAAATTGCTAAGTCCATTCATACTGAAGCAGCTGCTTTTTGTTGTTGTTTCCTAGACCATCATTGAGAAGCACAAGATGAATGTTCCGGAAACAATGAATGAAGTTCTCGATATGTCAGATGATGAAGGTACGGCAGTGTCCTGGGGGGGTCGTCATGGTGATGAGTGACTGGGTATCTGTTGCATCCAGAAGAAAGGCCTTTTCCAACATGTTTCGGGGAATGTTTAAATGTTGTGTTGTGGTATTGGGAATGAGTATTTTCATGCACTTCTGTTGTCACTTAAATCATGCAGTTCGTAAAGCCAACGCCCCCGAAAAGCTCAGTGATGGGGAATATATCTCAGATGTTGAAGAAGGTATTTACACCCTTATACTGTGATGAGACTTAACTTCTACCTTCAGCTTTCATACCTTAGCTCTCAACAGTAACCCTTCCTCAAGTTACTAACTTCTCATGGAATTCTGAGAATTAATTTTGGGGCCATTTAAAGGCTTACCTTCGTCCTACTGTCTTTCAGACTTGATTTCTCAAGCTCATTTTCCATCTTTAAGGAGGAACAAATGTCGCTACTTATCAGGGTTCCTCTCTGTTGTTTCTATCAAGCAGAAAATGGACAGTTTCATTGTTTGCAACTGAAATCTCCAAAGAGGGCAACTTACTGCTTATGGTTTGTTTGTTTTTGTTTTTTCCTTCAGTGGAAAAGGCATCCTTACAGGTCACAGGCAGAATGCCCAGTCTGCAGAGTGCCCTGCAGCTCTACAGTAAGATGGGCTTTGGACTTGGGACAAAGTATGGAAATTCAACCCAAATAAAACTGCTTTTAAACTCTAGATATTCTATGAGGCCTGAGAAGGAGATTGGTATACATTAAGGCTGTATTTCATGTGTTCAATGAAACTACTCATTTTCAGCTTTGCTTAAAAGAATGATACTCTTGGCCATGTCATTCACTTACATATATGTTTGTGTGTGTGTGTATATATATATATATATACATATATGTGCATATGAAATTTTTGAAAGGTCTGTTGGAAAAGTACCATTGTATAAGTGAATAAATATTGTAAGGATGGTAAATTTTGGAATTTCACTGAAATAATGAAATATTTACTATATTGAATGCACATTTATTATTATTATTTTAATTCAAGACAGGATCTCTCTATATAGCCTTGGCTGTCTTGGAACTCTCTATGTAGACCAGGCTGGCCTTGAGCTCAAAGAGATCAACCCGGCTCTGCCTCCCTAGTGCTGGGACTAAAGGCATGTGCCACCATTCCCCTGACTTTTTATTATCCTCCAAAATGACTGTCTTCCTCACTGCTCCTGCCCCTGCCCCCTTACATAGTGCTTTTTCTCTCTTGTGTCAGTCTTAGCAAGATTTTAATTCAGATTTACTGGGAGCCTAAGTAGTGGGAAAACCTACCTGATGCAAAGTGGCTGTGACCTTTGTGACATCCCACAGCTGCAGAGAAGACAGTGGGGGGCGGGGGATGATGCTCTCCCAGCAACTGCTGCCCTGAAGTTGTATCAAGACTCTTGATCATCTATGGCTATTGGTTTTAATGCTTTTTTTATAGGCTTTTCCATAAGTTGTATGTCTACCTCTCTTATCTCCCATTGGATATGGTCAGATACTCCTGAGAAGTCTTGTGTTTCCCTATTACAGAGGATTCCTTTGCCACGTTTATAGCAATTTCTCATGTGCCCATGTCGTTTTTTTGTTTTTTTAAGTGATGTGCTTCCCTGTGTATACACAAACAAAACAGGATTCAAAGAATGTTTTCCAAGTAAAATTAGCATGAAATACAATATCACAGTCATTATCAGCAATGTTCCTGCTCTTTTAACAAAATATCCAAGGTTACCACCCTGATGAGAAGCCAAGTTTGAATGGACCATGTAAGAGCTTTGTTTATGTGGGTCAATTATCAGATAATTCCAAAACAAGAGAAAATTGAATCTCTAAAGTTGAATTTAATTCACTTAATGAAATAGAAATGGCAATCATTTCCTTTATATTTGCAAACTTGAAAGTCAGAGTGACTTATAATTATCATTTGTGCCTTTCTTCGAATTCTTATTTTTTTTCCCTCTGTGGGGTGTGTTCATGGTTGTCAGAGTTATTCGGCTTTTGATTTTAAAATGTCATAGAACTAGATGGGGGAGAGCGGGACTTAAGGTCAGTCCACTTGAATACCCCTGTAGCTGGAATCTTTTTTGCTAGAACATTCTTTGCCCAGATATCTCAAATTGCCTGATCTAGTCTGAATAATCTTTTAGAGTCCCCCACCTCTGTGAACTTCCTGGCTCTTCTAGCTGGTCATTCTGGCTCTGATACATTTGGATCAGGATGATAAGTATTTGAGTTTCATTGACTATCTAGAATAAAATCTACTCTCCTATGTCATAGTCCCGCAAGTGTTTGAAATATTTTAAAAATTATGATCACTTATTATGCTAGAATAAAATCTACTCTCCTATGTCATAGTCCCGCAAGTGTTTGAAATATTTTAAAAATTATGATCACTTATTATGTTGTGTTGGGTGGGTGGGGGCAGACCGGGTGTATGTGTGTGTGTGTGTGTGTGTGTGTGTGTGTGTGTGTGTGTGTGTGTGTATGCACACATGCCATAGAGCATGTGCAGAGGTAAGAGGACTGTTTGTCAGTCCTTCCACCTAGTAGGACCTGTGGGAACACTTCCACCTAGTAGGACCTGCGGGATCAAATTCAGGCATCAGTGTCTGTAGCAGGTGCCTTCACTTGCTGAGTCATCTTTTCCTTCAGGTGTTTGCAAGTGTTTCTTCTACTCTTTCATCTTTGGTCCCCACTTCAGGCTCGTCACAGGCAGTTCCCTTACCGCTCCCACACTCAGTGAGGCCTTTCTCCTGTGTCCCCTTCCACTCAGGTATGTCTGCCATGCATTCAGGTGTCTAAAATGGAGCCCAAGGCTGGACCTGAAGTCTGATCCACAGAGAACCACATAGTAAAGCAGTGTGATTGCTTTCTTCATGGACGACACTGAGCATGTATCACTGAGCCAAGCGTGGGGGTGCACACCTTTCATCCCGGCACTTGGGAGGCACAGGCAGGTGGATCTCTGTGAGTTTGAGGCCAGCCTGGTCTACAAAGAGAGTTGTAGGACAGCCAGGACTGTTACACAGAGAAACCCTGTCTCAAAAAAAAAAAAAAAAAAAAGAAAGAAAGAAAATGTGCCTTTGACTATCCAGCTATTAACTGGGTATAGTGTGTTACAAGAGATTTTCTGCCTGGTTCCACAGCTGCCTTGCCCCAAATGAACACTCAAGACTTATATTAATTATAAAGCTGTTGGCAGTTGGCAATGGCTTCTTATTAGCTACCTCTGTCTAAATTATTAATTCATTTCTAATAATCTAAGTATTTTTACATGGTCTTCTCTTACCAGAGAAGACCTGTTACTCCTCTTGCATCCTACATGATGAAAGCTCAGCAGTTCCACAGAGAAGAGCATGATTTCCTGTTTGTCCCTGCTTATATTCTCTTTCTGCCCAGCTATGTCACTTCTTGCCTGTCTGTCCAGACCTCCAGACCTCTATGGATAGCAAGTGGCAGTTTCTGCCCAGCTACGTTACTTCCTGGGATCACATGACCATTCCTTTCTGCCTATACTTCCCAGAATCCTTTTCATATCCTAGTGCCATGCTGCTCTATTGGCCAACAGTGTTTTATTCATCAACCAATAAGATCAACATATACACAGAACAACATTCCCCATCAAAGGTGCACATGCCTTTAATCTTTAGGAGTTTGAGGCCAGCCTGGTCTACATAGTGAGTTTCAGAGTTCCAGGCTAGATAAGACACACAGTAAGAGCTACATAGAGAAACCCTGCCTTGAAAACCCATAAATAAGAAAATAAATAAATAAATAAATATTACTGTTTGGTGATGGTCCCTAAATTTTCCTAACCTGAGCTCTGCCAACCATCATTTTTACAATCAAGTATGTATATTCTTCTCTGTTATATAGACTAGCATTTCTGTATTATGAGAAATTATCCTAAAACAAATTGGCACGTGTTTTTCATTTTAAAACATCCTTTCCAACTTGACTGACAAATTTGACTTCTAACTCACTTGCCTGATAGTCTCTCCCATCCTTTAATTGTCTCTGTAGTTGGATTTGGGCCTGCAAGTTTGAGTGAGTTCTGTGGCTGTGGCAAGTGTTTGTTTCTGTGAACCCAAAGGCGTTTGAATGCATCAGCGCACCAGATTTAGCAAGAGCCAGACACATATGTGCTGTAGTGTCAGGATGTGGAGGCAGGAGGCCCCAGGGTTAGAGCTGCATAGTGACTTAGGGCTAAGCAGGTCTAGACTGCATGTCATCATGTCTGTATGAAGAGAGAAGGGGAGAGAGGAGGGGAAGGGAGGGGAGGGAAGAAATGAATGTGACAGCCCAGGCTGGGCTGCTGAGAGGTCTAAGCACATATATAGGCAGTGTGTATAGGCAGCTTATGTCAAGAAAGAAAAGGATGAGTTTATAACATGAGAAATAGTGTAAACACTAATTTAGGAAAGAATAGCTATTAAGGGATTCATGACTGGAAGTTTCTCCTTTCTCTCTCTCCACCATTTTCTACTTTGCGTCTCCCTTCTCTTCCTTTTGGTCTCCTTTGAGAAATTAATTATAGGTAAGACATGGTTGTTTAATGCTCAGTTAGTTCCGAAAGGAAGAAAGAAAGAAAGAAAGGAAGGAAGAAAGAAAGGAAGAAAGAAGTCTAGACAGTGCTGTCACTTAATGTCCCAGGAGCACAATGGAGTAGAGATACAGAGAACAAAGACTGAACCATGAGCAGCACCATAGCAAAGCAGGAGCCGGAGAAGCCTTTTCTAGAGCAAGGAGACCACAGGGCATGAGCTCTGCAGAGGGGCAGAGGGGCAGCAGACACTGCAGTAGTCTCCTGCATTCTACATTCATTGCATACACAGACCCCTCATGTGCACACAAACCACTGCCTTTATTCTGCTGCCACTCAGATTCTTACATTTTACAAATGAGTCTGCAATTGAAAAGTAAGATGTGAGGAGAGAAAGAGACCAGAGGAAGAGAAAAAAAAAAGGAACAAGGAGGGGAAAAAGCAAAAGGCAATGGCAGAGAGGGAGAAAGAGAGGGAGAGGGAGATGGAGGTGGAATTGAAGGAAAGGGGAAAAAAGTTGACATCAAGATCAAGGTCCAAGGTGTTTTCTAGATTGGGTGGAGGCAGAGTGGTCATGGGGGCTGGTGTGGCGCTAGGGTAGAGCTCCATAGTAGTTCTGGCTCAGCTTGGACCTTAATTGTGAATTCCTATACTGTGTGTATTTTTATAAATCGAA